TTCGGGCTCATGTAATGTCCGCTTTGTTCTTGTATCAAGTCAGCAGATACGAGTGAGTAGCTCTGTGTTGTCACGATGAGCTGGAGACAAAGTCGCGGAGTCGTCCGTCTGAGCGGCTGAAGCCATGGTCACGACCGGCCAGAGTCTGCAGAACTGTCACTTCGATCATGGGTACGCTCGAGCTTATGAGGTATGCAAGAACGACCGCTCAAAGATTCGTCAATCTCGAAAAGTCATGGACGATTGTCCACGTCCTATAGTCATCACTTACGACTCGATTCATGTGGATACGGCGAAGCCGGTCCATGTTGCGTGCAGCGCTTTGGTCGGTCCTGATCAGCAACAATGTGTGCGAACAATCAAGCTTGAACTCATTCTCAAACCCGACGCGTCACTAGGCCGGCTAGAGAATACGGTAGGGGGTCAAAAGCAAGACCGCAACTGCCGCTTGTGTCTTGTCGTGCACCGTAATGCCGATGCATCGAAGCCGCTGATCTGCAAGTCTCAGATCAAATACCCGACGGCTCGGAAATATGGAAAAGATCGCAAGTGCTCTTCAATTGCCAGTGACTTCAAGTGCGTTGTAGTGGTGACCTCGATGCTAGTTGAGGTAAGTGACTTGTCACCCCATTCGAGTGAAGCTGAGATGTTGCCTTCACTACCCAAATTCAGGCCACGAAGGCACAAGCGGGTCTGGAAGCCCTTCCTTCTCTACTTAAGTCCCTCGTGCCCTTGCATCCATAAATTTCACAGTGAGCCACGCAGGACTTCGCCCCATTTTGAACCACAGTGCTGCTCGGGGATTGTTGACACCTTGGCCAGCCCTCAACACAAGTAATGCCGCTGAGATCGACGAAGATGCCTCTCGCCGAATCCTTCAAGCTCAACACAGGCGCCTCCATTCCCGCCATTGGCTTCGGAACATTCCAAGCGAAACCTGGCACCGTCGAGAAGGCCGTCGAGATTGCCTTGCGAAATGGCTACCGTCACATCGATGGCGCCGCGGTTTATCGAAACGAACAGGGTGTCGGAGCAGGCTTGCGCAACAGCGGTGTCCCTCGCGAGGAGGTCTTCTTGACCAGCAAAGTGTGGAACAACTCTCACCGAGCAGAGGATGTTAAGAAGGCGCTGGACAAGACCTTGAAGGACTTGCAAGTGGACTACGTCGACCTGTATTTGGTGCACTGGCCTGGGTGAGTCAACAATGGGCAAAGAGTGAGACATGCTAACCTTTCGTTAAAGCGCCTTCGCTGCAGGTGACGAGTTCTTCCCGTACGACAAGGATGGAGTCCTTCGGCTTGAAGACACTCCTGCAACCGAGACCTGGAAAGGCATGGAGCAGGTGTTCAAGGCAGGCAAAGCCAAAGCTATCGGCGTGTCCAACTTCAACATCCGTCGTCTGGAAGAACTTCTCGAAGTCGCTGAAGTCGTTCCGGCCGTCTACCAGATCGAAGCCCACCCGTACATCCAGCAGAAGGAGCTGAAGGAGTTCTGCGAGTCGAAGGGCATCCTCATCCAGGCGTACAGTCCACTCGGCAACAACGAGACCAACTCGCCGCGAACAATCGACGATCCGAGAGTACAAGAGCTCAGCAAGGAGCTGGGTATGGATGCCGGCCAAGTTCTGATCGCGTGGGCGATTCAGCGGGGTACCATCGTACTGCCCAAGGGCGTGACCGAGCACCGTATCATCAGTAACTTCCAGGTGAAGGAGTTGCCGAAGGAGGCCTTCGACCGACTCAATGCGATGGAGAAGCACCATCGGTACAACGATCCGAGTGGAAAATGGGGCCACGATATCTTCGACGAGTTCGGCGGCGACGAGGCGGCCCAGCAGAGCGCTCGAGAGAAAGGTCCAGAGAAGTTGAAGGAGCTCCAGAAGTGAAGGAAGCAATCTGTGGCGACCATGTGGAAGTCAATAGATCCGAGTCTGCGGCCATTGGATTGCGGAGGCTAGGAATCTGGAGGACTTCCTTAGCTGAAGCAGGGTGAGTCTCTCACGGAATGCTCCATAGGTCTGGGGTGTAGTCGAAGTCTGCCGAGCCAAGTTGATCGAGGAATTGCCAGGAAGAAGCATCCAGGAATGCATAGTCAAACATGTTCGGGGTGAGCTGATCGGCATTGGCGTTGCTTGCTGGAGCATACTCATCATAAATATCAAGACGTGGTGAGAGCGTCGTATCTGCGTTCAATGATGTTGCCCGAATAGCACCTTTTGTGGTCTCTTCTCCATGTCGCGACGTTCTGGCTTTCAGATGGGCGCGATTCGCTCTCTGCTTCAATCGCTCAAGTAGCTGATGATGACGTCTCGCCTGGGAGCCCTCAGGTGCGATCAAGGACAGGTATTTCTGGATCTCATCTGCTTTCGCATAATATTCTCGAAGGTCAACACTGGATGCCTCGTACGACACATTCTGACGAGCATGTTCCAGCTTGAAGACCAGGAACGTCGATATAGCGGCTGTCATGACGTACTGCGTGAGCCAGAAGCCCCAGAGCAGTCGCTTGTGCTCAATCATGTGATGCACTCGGTCCACCATGGAGCAGATTGCACTGACACAGGTCCGAATGCTTCGTTGGTGCCGCTCTCGGTCTTCTGCCTGGTACGACTCGCCCGTGGTCTTCAGCAGTATCGTTCTTCGCGTGGCCAGAATGTAGGCGTGACTAAAGGCAAGGCTGAGGACGGTATTCTGCCGCTCATGTGGAAGCACCCCGATGGAGGCCGCAAGTCGAGGCTGAAGATACGCCGGCAGTTCTCGCTGCAGGTCATCAAGTGCATCGATCATGACCTCGCTTCGACGCAGGATCTCGACGGTGGATAGCGATTGGATCGGGTAAAGCATATCGTTGGCTTTAGCGAACAGTCGAGCCAGACGCGCATGGTAGAGTGCAGCCTCCAACGTCCCGTGATGAGGACACTGACTTAGATCGGTAGCTGTATCAAGAAGAACGTCTTCAACATTGTCGGGGTACTCCTGGTCCACATCTTCGTCTCGTAATAGGCGAGGCTGTCCAAGCAGGACCGACACATAGCCATCGATGCCGTAGAAGCTCCAAAAGACGCGCTTGCGGCGTTGAGATTCGAGTGGAGACATCTTGTACTGCTTTGGGGTCCTGCGGTGGATGCCAAGCGAGATGACCAAGGCATGAACCATGGCGAAGAGGTAGCGACACTCGTTGAAGTGGGATATGCTCAGCAAGACGAGGCAAGCAGCCACCCGGGCCTCTACACTGGCCACCGACGCTGGTCCAACCTCATTGTTGAAGAGCGTCCTGGCCTGTTGCAGATACGACAAGCTCCTCTCAGATATCCGATATGGCGCTGTGGGGGCGTCTTCGCTGTACATCAAGGCATGCGAAAGCACAACTAGCACACTCGCCGCCTGAATGGATGGTAGCGGCTTGCGTAGGACGAGGTCCTGCATACAGCGTTCGAGAGTCTGCTGATGAAAGAAGCGGAATGTGGGCATTGAGAAGCGAAAGTAGTGTTCTCTGTTTAATGTCAGAGGAATTCGTGGAAGAACCAAGTCACGTACATCAATGCCTTCCCTTCAGCAAGGTCCGGTAGTGGCGCTTTCGCGACTTGCGGAATGCTTGTGTCGCCATAGCTCGTAAGCGGAGTCGCATCGGCGGTGGGCGCAGCCTCATTGAAGCCTTCTTCAGCCCACCTGTAGAGAAATGCTACTCCGCTTGTTGGGCCAACATGGAGACCGTTGTCGAATGCAGCTTCAGCTTCGACTGAGGCTCGACGGGACGGCTGACCGCTTTCTGCTACGGGATGCTCCGTATGAGGCACGCGCAGCCGTTCGTGACCAACGTCAAGTCTCGGGTTCTCGATTGGCCTTGGCGTGGGCGGAGGAGAGCTATCGTCAATGCTCCGTTTGGAGGTCAGAGAGATGCTACCCCGGGGTGGTGGCTCCTCATTGTATGTGCAGACAAGCTGATGTTCGATGCAAAGATCGCACGTAGTGCCGCCGGAGCATCGCGTCTTCCTCTTTCGACAGAAGTCGCATGCTCGAGAATCTTGGCCCTCGGTTAGTGTATGAATTTGCCAGAAGAGGTTGTTGCCGTCGATAAGGTATTGACATACTCCTCGGGTGTCGCAGCTTCCTCTTCTTCGCGCTCAGCTGCACCGGGGAGCTCATGCTCGACAATGGTCGTATGCATGCGCTCTCGATGAACCATCCATCGATCGGGATCAGTTCGAGGTAGCTGAAAGCATGAAAGTGGGTGGAGTGAAGCTTGGAGAAACCGGAGGAGAAAACGCCGAAGAAAACCCTCCCCCAAACATTGAACGCGTCAATTTTTGCGGGGTCGCGTCTTCTCTCAACAGTGACCTCAACCATGGCACAGATATTCCCTCGAGGTTTGCATGCGCGGAAGACTACATTCGCAGTGTTGTGACTCTGACGATCCTTCCGCAGTGCACATTCCTGGTCGAGCTGTTCCCGCCTTCTTGCTTGAAGACGACGTCTACGACATCCAGGAAACCACCTATTGCGTCAGCATGGTTTTCTGCCACTTGCTTGCTGTTAACGACGTGCGAATGTGGAATGGCACAGCCGCTCGGCTGAATGGTGGCCTCCTCGAACGATCCTTCATCAGGACCGCTGGTGTTGCGACCGTTCACCAAATGCTGGTTGATGTTGTCGTCGCACCGCTAAGCGTGATACTCTTCTATCGGCGACGCCGTTCGCGACAGCTTAATGTTTGACGCCTTGCGAAAGGCAACAGACATCTTGTCGCCTCCAGAGCCGTCCTCGCAGGCAGCCCAGACGACAGCGACGTATCTGCACCGCGGGCATCAAGACTGCTCGGGCGCTCTTCCGTAACTGATTATCGCTGTCTGGAAAGCGAAAAACATTCGGCACCCAATCACTTCGTCTGGCCGTTGCCACCATCTTCGTGCCCTCGAGTCACTCAGCAAAAGGCCAATCATTATACCCTTCATCCACACAGCCACCTGGCCCAGGTCCGTAAAGCACCCATCCACCCCTCCCATTCTCCGCCAGCGGCAACCCCTTCCCAATTCTCCCAACCAAATCCGCATTCCAGACAAATGCCCTGCCCAACTGCACCATATCAGCCTTCCCCTCCGCCACCGTTCTCTCCGCCTCTTCCGCACTGTAATCCTGAGCAGCTATCAAAAGCGTTCGGCTACCCTTCCGCTTGACCAGCGGCCCAAATTCCAGCACTGCATCAAACCCCTCCGGGAGCGCGAACTCGCCTTCGGGAGGGCGCTCAAACATTCCATCCCTACTTTCATGCCTCCCTCCTCGTCGAGAAATACAAATCGCTCCGAGGCCCATCTCGACCAGTTTCCCAATCAGGTACGTGTACGTCTCGATCATTTCGTCGTACCCAACGACGGAGTCATTGAGCACATCGCAGGGCGCCATCTTCACAATGACCCGGTTCAGCCCGCCCGGCGTTGTCTCGCCAAGCATACAGACGAGCTCGAGCACGAAACGGCAACGATTCTCCACGGAGCCGCCGTACGCGTCGGTGCGGATGTTGGAGCGTGAGGAGAGAAATTGATGGGGGAGGAAGCCGCCCTGGCAGAGCAGTTCGACTCCATCGAAGCCGGCCTTGTTGGCGAGCAGGGCGGCGCGGCGGTAGGTTTCGATCAGGGCGCTGGGATCTGACACGGCGTGAATGTTGGTGGTGTGGCCCTGAGGGAGGATCCACGTCAGCGGGACTGGCGTCATCTAATGCTGGTGCCAGCTAACTGACTGTGATGGACGATACATACAGGATTGCCTGGGATGTGATGGTACTTCCAACCTGTCGCTGGAATGGCCGATGGAGCGACCACTTTTGTGCCAGTCGACTGCATGATGGGCATTTGCTCGTTCTGTGCCCGCCCTATCACAAAAAGCAGGTGATCACGAATCAGCGTATGTGCCAAAGATCAGCAAAATCCATTCTCTTGCCCACACCGATCTCAGCTTGTCATCACCAGGAAAAGACGGCGCAAACACACCGGCATGCCATGCCTGCCAATACATCAGTCTACCCTCCCGATGAACGCCATCGACCACCTTCTTCCACGCCGCCGCTTGCTCATCAGCAACGAGGAATGGCGCATGTGGGTAGTCAACGCCAGCCCAGTCGACCAGCAGACCTTCGCTGATGATTATGCCGGGGCCGTTTCGGGCGCGGTCGCAGTAGTATTGGACGGTTGCTGGACCGGGTTTGTGGTTGTCGACACAGCGATTGCGGGTCATGGAGGCCATCGCGAGACGGTTCGGGAGGCGAATGCCGCTAGGCATGGTCAGAGGCTGGAGGAGAGCAGACATTGCAACAGTCTGCCGGCGTTAGGAAGGGCTAATTGATGCGAGATGTTGATGCTCTCTGGTCTGATTGCTCGGCAATGCAGAATAACACGTTGAGGACTGATGTCAACGTCGACTTTATACCACCGCGTCAGCCTTCCGCTTCGAGCGCCGATCACTCCCCGCTTGTTGACCGCCATATGGAAGGACCGAAGTCAAAGCAAACTGCCAGTGACGATGATCCCTTGATCTCGCATTGCAAATAAGCCGAAGCCCGAAAGAGGTGATAGTGGGTCCCACATGCAGCACATGGCCCAATCAGAATATGCCCCTCGCGCAAGAGCAGGAGCAAGTTCCGTATCCCGAATCCCGAAAAGCGACAAGAGCCCAAGGTGCCACCGTTTGTCTTGTCCGCCGCAACATGATGATCCATCGCACCGGGTTCCTTCGAAGCAGCCCTTGGCGCGTGCTGCGACTATGAGGCTACCAACAGCGTGCTTCGAATGTCGACAAGCGAAAAGAAGATGCACGCGGCCCGCTGCCGGTGATGTTTGTAAGCCTTGCCAGCGGAAACGACTGAATTGTCGAGCAAAGTTGTCGCAGAACAGACCTCCGCAGGGATCAGAGGTGATCGAAGCGGATCCAACACCTGTGCAGCTCCCTTTGGCGTCTTCAACTGCCGCAACGACTCAGCAAAGGCGCAAGTCAAGCCGAGGTGTAGGGCACGGACTGCCGCACGGTACTGCGATCGAGCTTGTGGACCAATACATACTCAAGTTTGACGGTAGACCGCATAGTCTGTTCCATGCCGCGACGCTTCGAGCGCAGGTCCGAGACAGTAGCCTCGCTCCGGCACTTTTGTACGCAATCTGTGCCATCACCAGCAGGTTCAGCGCAAATCCTGATGTGCGCGAGCTGAGCACGACCTTACGGGCTGACGCAACGCGAATACTGAAGGGGGACATAACCAATGTATGTTTGGAGAACATCCAAGCTTGCCTGCTGGTCGCGTTGCTCGGAGTTGGGCATGGTGACAGGGACGAAGAGGCTCTTCTGTTCCGTAAGTAGGCGGAGAATCGATACTACCGGGAGCACGCTGACCGGAGCACACAGGCATTGCGTTGACGATGGCAGAGGTTATGGGTCTTGAACGCCCCAAACTGGAAGACAATTCGATTGAACGAGAGGCAAAGATCAGGGTCTGTTGGTCACTCTATCTGGTCGATATGTGGTGCATCTCCGGTCAGGGGCTGCAAAGTCTTATGAAGCACGCGTCCAGTAAGCCGCCGCTTCCCATGGCCGACAGAAAGTTCGCTTCCTTATCGATTACGCGCGAAGCGCAACCGCTCATGGAAGGGATTGAAGGTGGTGTCGCTCTACTGACACACTTGGTCAATCTTGTACCTGTTTTCGGCCGCATTCATAACATCAATCAGCAACTCGCAGCGAATGTTACTGCCGTACACGACCAGCACTCCGAAGTCCAGAGCATCGCAGAACAACTTGAGAAGTGGCTCCGTCACCTACCGCTTGAAGCAACAATGAATCCTGATAATCTCAGGCGACAACAGAGAGACGGCTTGGGAGGAAATTTGGTCGCGCTGCACCTGACATACCATCACTTCGGCACACTGCTGTACTTTCCCTACCTCGCCGTGGGCTGCGATCCAGCCTTGCAGTCCGGAGAAAGCGCAACCTACGCTGCGCGGTGCAGAGACAATGCCTCTTCGTTCAGCACGCTGCTGTGCCAATCGCGGCAATTGAAGCACTGCGACGTGCTCTATCCAAACTTGGGACACATGATTCTGGTCTCGTCCGTTGTGCTAATCCATACGCTGCTGTTCATGACGGAGATCGAGGAAGTCTCCGAAGCCCGCAACAACCTGGAGTCGAACTTTGAGGCTCTGGTCGAGCTTTCGGAGTACTGGCCGTCATGTGCTGCCATGGTAAGTTCTTCTTGCGTACTGGTTTGTCGAAGTTGGTCTGACTGTGTTGCCAGATCAAACGATTGGTTTTATTCCAGGACATGTGCCTGCAGTCCATGAGCTCCGAACCGGAGGTCGACTCAACACATCGCCTAGACAGGTGGATGTTGCGCTTCTTGACAGAGCATTCACTCGAGCTAAGTGTTGAAGAAAGGCATGGGCCTGGTACGAGCGGTCTTGCAACAACCCCCGAGTCGTCAAGCATGTCGGCGAAGGTGAAAGAGATGGTTGAGCAAGGTCGCTACACCCATTTTCAGATGTTGTAGGCATTCGGGTCATCATGCCTTCGAATGACTGGATGTGCAGGGTTGGAAAATCTGGTCCAATAATAACAAATATCTAGCCAAAGCCGAGTGAACCTCCCCGCGCTTGCTTAAAAATGCCGACAGAATCATGCTATCATCATTCATCAGTCCCAGTAATCCTCTATTTTACCACGAGCTCCGCCATGAGCTTCGCCAAATCCTTCCACTTCAACGGCTTGCTCAAGAAAATGTCGAATCCACTCCCAAACGCCTCTGCCTGCGCCGCCTCGGACTGCAGCGCCGTAACGGCGATAATTGTCGCCGGCGCCATATGGTGCCTCTTTTCGTATGCGCGGATCTGCTGCACGGCCTCGTAGCCATCCATGACGGGCATATTGATGTCCATGAAGATGACGCCTGGTGCGCCGCCCGCATTGTTTTCGTCGCGGACTGTGGTGGTGTCGCTGTTTGTTTGCGAGTCGTTCTTATTGCCGACGGCTTCGTTGTCACGGAGCCAGTGGCTGCGGTGCTGACTCCGGTTCCTATGGGCGTGCTTGAATGCATCGACTGCAAGCTCTCCGTCCACTGCTGTGGTGTAAGAATACTTGAGCTTTTTCGCGAACGCGACGAGGAGGCGAAGATTGATGTCGTTGTCATCTACGAGCAGGAGGGTTGGGCCTTTGATTTTGCAGAGTTCGAATAAGGAAGTCTGTTCTGTCATGGGCGTCAGGAGCTCTGGTGAGAGCGTGCCGACTGAATTTGCGCCGCTCGTGCCTGCCGTGGACGGGAGAGACAACCACCCAGGTGTCTCGTCCTCCACTGGCGATGGCGTGACGGCCACGACTGTTTCATAGATAGAGCTTGTAGTTCGATGTGACACTATGCCGTGCCAAGGCTTTTCTGTTTGATCGTGGGCTACGTTCTGGTCCATAACGATGCGTTCTTCTGTGGGCACGTTGCCACGAAGATCTTCGACATGAGTAGACTTGTTTGAGACCTGCTGCGCACGTTGATTCTGTAGCTGTAAGAGATCGAGGATCGCTTGACCAATTTGCCGGGTGCCACAGGGCATAGCGATGTGTGCCATGGCGGCGCGGGGCTGTAATGGGTGTGTTGACCATTCTTCTTGCAACCCAGCGGCGCTAGGACTGTGAATGCAGACGACAAGTGTCGGTGGAGCCAGTGCCTGACTTCCAACGACCAAAATCTGTTGCAGTTCTGCAAGGACGTCTGCCAGATCGGCTTCCACGACAATGTTGAGATCGTTCGACTGGTCCACACGTTGGCAAGTCTCGACGTGCGCACCCATTGATTGAAGGCTTTTCTTGACCGAGGCGCGCGCCATTGCAGACGCTGTTGCGATTAAAGCACTCTCGCGATCGGTGGGTGGAGGACTGCTTGCCTTCAAGAAGCCAACTTTGAGGTTTCCGAACATCTGGGATGGCAAGGAAAATCTCTTCTTCTCATGGCTATTGTTGCGATCTTGGTGGGGTCGGCTATGATCCAAAGGGATCTGCACAACAATGCGCGTTCCCGTACCGTCGCGATTGCTGGTGACTTCGATCCTTCCACCCATCGCGCTGACCATGCGAGAGACCATGTGCATGCCGAGTCCCAAGCCACTGGATAAAGTGTCCTCCTGCGAGAAGTCGCGAAAGAGGTGATTCTTCTGGAATTCCGTGGACATGCCGATACCACTGTCAGCAACGGTCAGCACCGCATCGGATCGGCGGTGAGAGCCTGGTCGTGGCTTCTGTTTTAGAGTGACTCGGATGAAGCCTGAGGGCGTGTATTTGAGGGCATTAGTCACCAGATTCATGCAGATGCGCTTCCAGCCACCAGTAGCTAGGCTGCAGCGCCAGGAAGGTTCGCCGGGCGAGTCGACGTCAAGAATGACAGGTGTGTAGGTCCGGTCTGCGGCATCTTGGTTGTAATAGAACGAATAGACTGTTGAAGCAACAACACCCTCGGTAACATCATCTAAGGCGATAGATTCGTCCAGCTTTTCGAGCGCACCCTCTGCAGGAGGACTCCGGCCACTAGAGCCGCTAGAACGCGTACCTCGGCCAATTCTGGAGCTCTTGACAGCGCCCTTCCTCAATCCAAGGCTCTTGAGGTGGGCAAAATCTAGAAGGTGGTCGATGACATCGAGCAGCGTGTGACCGCACGAATTGATCTGTTCCACAAGAGAGGAGGCTGTGCTATCGAACGCATATCCGGATAGCAATTCTGCTGAGCCAAGGATGCCATGGAGAGGAGAGCGCAGCTCATGGGACACGCTTGAGATAAAGTCCGATTTCGCTTTGTCGGCTCCCAAGACTTCGAGTCGCCTGATCTCAGCAATAATGACATCGTTGAAAGCAGCCACAAATGGCATTTCAACGTCAGTAGTCAAGATTCTAAGAGGATCATACGACCAGTAAATTCCTCCAACTGACCAGCGTTTTCTTGTATGATCCCAGATACCGCGAAGAGCGATGCAACGTGCTCCGGGAAACTGTGACTGAAGGATTTCTGCATCGCTGCGCAGTGCTTTCCGCCGCTTTCGAGTTGCCGGTGATGGAGCGCCAGAGGACAAGTTGACACCACTAGCTTCGTCTGAAGATGATGACACGTCTTCTGTAACCAGCTTTAGATCTTGATCAAATGTCCAGATCTCGCCTGTCGGATGTCGACGCAAGAGACCACGCAAGTACGACTCTGTAAGCTTGACAGCAGATTGAGCATCTGAGCCCTGTGTCGCCATGACATGGTCCGGAAGCGCCTGTGCACAGCCCAGCACTCGGCATGGCCTGGTTTGTTGTGCTTGCCATCCGCCCACAGGTTGGTCGGCCTGTGTATGCATTCCGTCGGACTCATCGCTGTCATGGGAACTGCCTTCGGTGGATTCTTCTGAATGTTGGCCCAGACCGCCAAACATGCGCACTGAAGCATCAAGCAGAGCGACTCCATCGACACTGAGGCAATGACATAGAACTTCAGCACCTCGCTGAAACGTCCTTTTGATTGGGTCGGCTTCCCCTCGCGATTGGGGCGTGAATCTGCTCATGTGAGAATGCTTTCGTGGATCACTCGTTGGTAACGTGTCCCATGTGCTTGTTCGCATTCGATGTCTCATGGCAGTGTTGACCCAATCATCGGCAGAGACGGCCTCGGCGGTGTTATCGCCACTTTGCACACTGTGCTGCTTGGGCAGTTGCTGTGACGATGCTTCGGAGGAGAAGTACTCGTTTCTCGTTGCGGAGGTCGAGCTCAGCGTAGGGGTGGCGAGTGGATCGATCAGTGTGGCTGGTAAGCGATATTCGACTGCGTGATGCATGCTCGGATTTACTTGACCAGCATCTGACTGCCACTCCGTGGCTCCCCAGGCATCTGGTCCCACATCTGACGTGCCTCGTATGAAACTTCGGATTCCGGCTACCATGCGATTACTTTGCTGTTTCTCAGCATGGCTACGCACCGTCTCGAGATGTGTCATAATGGTCTGAGACATGTCACGGAGGAAGGTCAGGTCTTCTCTGGAGACCCCGTCACGAGGCTTGTCATCGAGGATGCAGTAAGCGCCGATATTGACGCCGGATGGAGTTGTAATTGGAACTCCAGCGTAGAATCGACCATGGGGATATTCTGTAACATACGCCCTGCTCGATAGATCTGGGTGCGCGGTCAAGTCGTTGACGACGAAAGCGCTCTTACTTCTGTCATATTCGGTGGCGTCGACGGCAAGAGAATGAGGGAGCCCGATGGTGATTTCGCAACAAGCGATGTCACGTGGAATGGTGGAATAGCCCAGCCAAAGCTCATCGCCTGGACCATGGGTCGAATCACTCTCGAGTGATAGTGTCTGCGTTGCCTCAGCCATTACATAGGCCCTGGTGACATCGAAAAAGAAGACTAGACAGCGGCGAGCTTTCAACCTCAGAGCACCCAGTTGACAAAAGGCCGTCAGAATCTTGTCGGGACTCGATACGGCTTGATGCCGTGCCCTGGCCACAGGATCCCGTACGTCGCAGAACTTTGGCCCGCGGTCTGACATCTGCCGTAGGGGACCATAGTAGCTGTTACGGGTCAATGAGTGTCAGTCCATCATATCGCGTGGAGAATGCGGTTTTGGACATACCGATAGAAGTGCTGTTCCCGTCGACTCTCCTTACGACTGCTTCTCGAGCTCCCGTACGAGCCGGGATTCACGCAGGCAGCCTTCATGGCGGCGCTAATGCTGACACCGCCTGAACTGAGGACTATCTACAGATCGCTCGATTCCAGACGCTGGTGTGTTAACTTGAATGCCCAGCAAAAGCTCGCGAGTTCGCCATTTCCGTTCCAAGGTTCTAGACCTCAGCCACTACCGAATTTCAGGGACCATGGTTCCACTTTAAACGTTGCACCGGACAGTTTCCTTCCGAGCGGAGCCCAGCAAGGGTTGAGGCAAAACTTCATCAGCCACAACCTGAAAGTATTTCCGTTGCTGTGGCCCCGCAAAGCTTTCATTTGAGTTGTAGGTCATAATACACACGGTCGTTGTATAGTGTGTGGTCTCTACATCAGATAGCACGCTGTGGCCTTGCAGTCTACAAGTGTAGCGTAGGTAACTTGGGTCTATCATGGCCCAGCAGCGCACACAACGGAGATCTTATCTACTCAAGTACTTTACCATCGTATGTTGTACCAAGATGTGAATGCCTCGGCTCGTAAGGCAACTTACGAAGTACTTATCGGGTAACTTTCTCAGAATCAGTTGCGGTAGCTGAGCTCATATACATCTTAGTCTCCTGGCCAGCGACCGTCCCTTACTACTCGCTTTCTACATGTAGCGCTCTATGACCGATTTCGGAATCCAACCTATGCCGTCATGGTACAAGCAGTCCCCCTTCAACGCAGCTGCTAGCTCGGCCGCTTATCCCGTCCTACCGCGTCTCTACCCACCCCTCGCGACCCGCCAGTTTCCACGATTCTCCTCCCCCGCCAGCACCACCAGCAGCCCGCACGTTCGCCCGACAGATTCAGCATCTAGTAGTCTTCCAGAGCGTGTTGCTCCTCTCGATGGGCACCAGGCCAGAAGCAGGTCCGACACGCCGAATAGACAGATGGATCTCCCTGTCTGGCAAAGCACTCGCTTGAACTGAGAACCCAGAAACAATCTGCTCCTGATCTGATTGGACCGGTCACAAAGTTATCCGGGTGTGTGCCAGCGAGTGTGAGATTTTTGGCTGGCCAGGGCCGCTACACACGTTTTAGGATGTTGTAAGTCCCTACTCGTTCCCGCCTCCGATTGTAGAAAGGCAAGCTGTCTGTCCAGGCGGATGAGCATCGCAGATAGCTCGAACCAATCGGGTCAGAGTGAATGGTTCGGCATCCTCGCTGAGTGGGCTGAATGCGTCTGCTTCTGGCTCATGCAAAGACGCAGGGGCGGGACTGGGGCAGCTGCTGCGCTTCTTGTGGTAGGAATCGTTGGAAGGTGTAAAGTCTACGCGATCGCCACGATGAGCTCGCAGCGCTTCGGAAGCCGTCCAAAGCTGGTGTCTGGAACGCTAAGACCAGACTTCAGCCTGTGGGGTGACCCGTGGTCGTCCCTCCCAGCATATACGCTTCGGGTCAGTTTCGTGTTCGTGCATCTGGCGCGGGCGAGGCTGTCTTGCAGATTCTGAAAGCTTCACATAGCGCTCATGTCGGTCACCCAGCCAACTCTGCCGGATCTCTGTGTATATGCTTCGTGTCTAGCTCTTTTCGCTCCGTGAAATTCGCATCCAGTTCACTTCTGCGATGGCTGCCATTCGCCAGTTGCTTTTCCGACGTGTGCCCTCGCCGCCGTCGCCACCACCAAGCCGCGAAGACCAGGGCTGCGACCGCCGCCAGTGAGCCGACAACAGGGCCCGCGATCCACGCTTTACTTCCATTGCCAGCGCCACCAGTGTCTTTGGTTTCGTCATCGCCGCTATTGGAACTTGCCGCTTGACCTGAGCCATCATCGTTACGTTGGGCGAGGCGCCAAAAAGGTCGGGAACCATTGTTGTGTGCGTTTGACATCATGTAGCAGTTCTCATATCCGTCATCGCCAGTAGCGTCGAAGGAAACGGCGGCGCACTCGTCGGAGGTGGTGTTGGCACAAGCGCCAAGGCATTCGGGAAGCCTTTGGCTGAAGACGCTAGAGGTGAATGTTCCATTGGCGCTGTTGTCGCAGGAAACATTGAACGTAGTTCTTGTGTCACCAGCACCAGCGAAGGTGGTGCCACCCGCACAAGAAGTGTCTAGAGATTCGAGTTGGGCAAGCGCGACATGCGATCTGTTTGAGGCACTCATATGGCGGACGTCGGCGACTGCGCGCAAGAGCGGAAAGCAATTAGCCCATTTCCGGGGGAAAATAGCTCACGCCGTAGCACGTAGGTCTCATGGTGGCGCAAAATTGCATGCAATCGTCGAAAGAGTCGGTATGCACATTGGCTGGAATCGCGGTTCCGTTGGTGCTTGATCCAGGTGTGAGAATGTAACCAGCTTGGAGGCTAAATGGTTCCCTGTCGCAGTGGACTTGAAAGCCAAGTCCGTTCACGGTGCGGATGGTAGCGTTCGTGTAGGGCCACTTCCTGTCGATGTTGTCAAACTGTAAAGGGTCGGGCAAAACAGCTGTGTGTACCTTATCATCAGGCATGAGCTGAGTCAACGACCATTCTGCGCTTGTATTGGCCAAATAGCACGTTCTTGACAAACCGAACTCGTAGTTCACTGCGACACACGCGTCGCCATCGACTGGAGCGGTGGCGCAGAATTCCAGACACTGCGTCAGATTGTCAGCGCTGTATATTGCGCCGTACGTGTTGCCGAACTTCTTGGCCTCTCCGGACTCATATTTGGCGTTAGTGGTACAAGGGTACACATCGAACGTCAGACCATTGCTTGAGGTTTAGTTGTGTTATCGCCGCAAGCGTCGCCAAATGTAAGGTTCTGAGCTTGCCGAGGACCTAGCACGGCGCCGACAAGGGCAACAGCGGTGAGGGCAAAGACCGCGGCATAACGGGCAGCGCCCATCCTCATGGTGTTCTGAGGCTTTGGACTCAATGGCAAGGCAAGTGTAACCAGCAGCAGCGTGATAGTGATGTCAACGAAAAAGCAGGTAATGAAAAGCTCCGGACGTGAGAAGATGTGAATCAGTCCGGGGGAGAATATGACCATGCTATCATGCACCATGTAATGGTTGTTGACCGAACCAGTGATGTAGCTAAGCTAAGCGATGTCGACCGTAGCTGTGAGTGGCGCGAGACTTGCTTGCAACCGCGAAACGAATTCATTAGCCTGTGCAGCATTGTGAGCTAAGGCGGCTCGGGAGGTTCACCGGTCAGTCGTGCCCGACATTCATCCACCTCCTGGTTCGTTAACGCTCAGGAAGTCGTCGGACAGGCGCATACTGCTCGCAGGAGCTCGTGCTTGCTGTAGTAGCAAGCGTGACTGCGGGACATTGCTGGAACACCGATGTCGAGGATGTTACGTGAGGGACGAGGACACATGCGCAGGCATAGGCCTTTCCATTTAATGGCAACTACCTTATCTGACTGTCTGGCGAGTTCCTGTATCTCAGAGAGAAGGAGCGTAACAAGGGCACGTCAGGGCGGCAGCAACTTCAGCTTCATCGTCGTCGGAATGATCCAACATCACTGATACCGTGGACCTACTCCATTTTCCTTCTGGCGCCGCTCGTTTAGCGTTTAGCCGCCAAGGCCTGGGTCAGCGGTGCCTCGGCTCGAGCCTCAAGTGACAACTTTTCTTCGGATTCTGTTTGTTGCGTGGCACGTTGGTGCACATCACACATCTGAGGATCCTGCAAGCAGTCTTTTCCTTGTTCCCCTTGGGTCACGACAAGCTCTGAGTCGGGCCGGCTCGAGCATCGTTCTGCTAGCGAGCTCGTTGGGTCGAGGAGCGCCCCAAACTGGTTTCGTTGTGGACCCCTCTTTGGCCATCTTTTCGTCGGATGATGCCCGTCTCTACGATCCTCCTTCTCAGACACGGCCACCGCCTGGCATGGTCACTCGATCCGAACACAGGCGAATATTCCTCCTCACATCCCTTCCCCACACGACTCCCAGCCGATCCACCACTGGCGTCGCATGGCGTCAGTCAGGCGAAAGAGACGGGCTCGTTCCTGTCAAAAGAACTGTTCAAGCTTGCACAGGAGCAGCGGTTGGTGATATACTCGAGTCTGTTTTATCGGTGTTTGGAGACTTTGCGGCCGACTGTGGAGTGCCTGCTGGAGGCACTGGACGACAACGACCGTGGGAAAGGACGGAAGAGTCTACAAGTACGGGGCGAGCGAGGACTGGGAGAGTGGTTTGGTCACGCGTGGTTTGAGCAGCCTGCGCCAGCGGAGCCGCGGTTTCTGAAGGAGAAGTTCTTCCCCTGGGTGGACGACACGTACCAGTCTTTGGTGATACCAGACCGGCATGGCGAAAGGATAGAGGACTTGCATGAGCGGATAAAACGAGCGCTGAAGGCGGTGGTGGATGACGTGGATCGCGAGTATGCAGAGGCTGGCCGAGAACGAGAGGAGGTGACAATGCTGATCTGTGGGCACGCGGCGCAGATTATCGCAAGCGGCAGGGCACTGACTGGGTGGAAGTTGGAGGAGCGGGAAGATGGTGAGGGCTATGACGAGGACGACTTTCAGTGCTTCACATGCGGCATTTCGAGGTTTGAGAGGAAGAATGAGAAGGTGCTGGGTGGCTTTGACTGCACAAGCAACTCGGACTGCTCGCATTTGAGTCAGGGCGAGGAACGGGGCTGGAAGTTCCACGGCGACGAGAGCTTCGACTCATACGGCGCTGCGCAGAGCAAAGGCGTCAAGGTCAGCGATGGTAGTTTTGGCGATGGGTCGAAGCTGTGAACGCCTCTGGGAACGTTTTGGGACGCATTTGATGGCGTTGATCGGCTAGATTTCGAGCACTACACGTGTTTGAGGGGGCTATTCACGCTTCCGTGCATTGTCTGGCGTCTGGACGGTTGGCATTGAGTCCTGCTCCAAGAGACAGCAGTGAATATGAATGTCGGCAACAAGGTCGAGACCCGGATAGATCCGTTGATAAATCGAACTTCGACCCCTTTCAGAGAACAACTTCGTCCAATTTCACCTAGCGAGTCGCTGAACACCGCAGACGGCGAGCTCTCATGGCCGCCATTCACTACCACTATTAGGACCATAGCTACAGGATGATCGTGAATGGGTACCTAGTACGTTAGTTTCTAGGAGCGGATTTCGTTTCCGCCTCCACGTCTCCGAATTTACTGCCTCGCCTCAACTTCTCCATTGCAACATCAACTTAACATGTTTTCCTGTTCCATCTTCTCGTCCACAGCTGGTGCTCTGGGTGTCTGGCTGCGCATTCCTTGAGCTGAGTTTTATTCTCGCTATGGACTGCTGACATGGCGCATCGAAACGTCACCAATCATGTCTCTTGGTGCGAGCTCCTCGGAGCAGTATATTAGTATGCACTTCAAGCTACCCCTCTTGCATCGTTCGGCCAACATACGCATACTCATACCGTTCCAGATCTGATACCACGCTACATACGCGCTTTACGCCCTCGATCGAGCAGCGTTCACGGCTGTCAAAGCTCCCGCCGCCAATTTCACGACTACTTCGTCACCCGGCTACCCTCGAGTTCCCTCCACCCGGACTCGCGCTCGTCCACCGGCCTTGCCCACAAATTTCCTCGCAAAGACAGCACACCGCATACCGACGATGGTCGCAAAGCCGCCCCGCTTCATCATCCGACGGCGAACCGAGATACCACCACGGTTCGCATCCCACTCAAGAGCGCCAAACATCACTACGGGGCCGCCGTCAGTCGTGGCAGCAGGCCATACAATGAGGACAATCACCAGGCCGGCGTCATCGAGCTGCCAGCATTTGCGAAGCGTCCACCGGTTAGTCTGCGCCTGGACAAGGCCAAAGAGGCGGAAAGTGCAGATGGGGCTAGTGGCGATCCGCAAATTTTCTACTTCGGCGTGTTTGACGGACACGGTGGCGTGGAGTGCAGCGAGTATCTCAAGGAGAGGCTACATGAGTACATTGAAGGAGCCGCGGTCGACTTTGACTTGCGGAGCAGTCTACAGGTAGGAGACCGTGCAGGCGGTGGCAAGAGCAAGGACATTACGGCGGGCGAGGAGTACGACGCCGAGACTATGAGGCGAGGCAAGGAAGCCCTTAAAAACGTGCTGAAGGGTGGCAAGGACACAGAGGATGGCGACGGAGTGCCAATCCCCAGCGAACCTACCCAAGTCGAAACCGGCAACTTCGAACGTATGCAGAAGATAGAGAAAGAGCTGATTAAAGACTGGCGAGAACTGGTCTCAGGCTACTGGCGACGAGCAAAACCACCATACTTCTCCATCTTCAGCGACGTCGACGCCGGCGGCATGAAGCGCAAAACTTCCACCTCCACCTCCACGACCACCATCGAAGAAGTCCTCTCCTACTCCTTCCTCAAAGCCGACTTCGACTTCGTCTCCGCCCAAGCTGCCCTCGCCGATCCCGACGCTGACTCCGTCCACTCCGAACGTCCCCTTAACGATGGCGACATCCTCGGCGTGCCTCACAAAGTCGCCTCCCACGTCAAATCCAACACCGACACCCAGCGCTTCAAAGGCGGCAGCACCTGCTCCATCGCCATGGTCTCCACACCATCACCAGTCCCCTTCTGGAATCCCGCTTCAACGTCCACCCTCATCGTCGCCCACGTCGGCGACACCCGCATCCTGCTCTCCTCTACCGCCACCGGCTCCGCTCATCCGCTAACAACAAACCACCACCCTTCCTCGCCCATCGAAGCAACCCGCCTCCGCCGCTACGCCGCCACTTTCGTCACCGACTCCTTCGGCGAAGAGCGCATCTCTGGCCTCGCCAACACGCGTGCTTTCGGCGACATCGCCTCGAAACGCATCGGCGTCAGCGCCGAGCCCGAGATCACCCGTATCGAACTGAGTCCGGCGGAGTACGCGTTCATGGTGCTGGTATCGGACGGCGTCAGCGGCACGTTGGGCGATCAAGAGATTGTGGATATTGTAAAGGAGGCAAGGACGGCGGAGGAGGCGGCGAGAAGAGTTGTGGACTTCGCGACCGAGGTCAGTCAAGATGGGGATAATGCGACGTGTTTGGTCGTCAGGTTGGGTGGATGGGAGAGGAGGCAGGAGGGTGGAGTTGGGAGTTTGGGGACGAAGGAGGCCAGGGACTTCAAGCGGGAGCAGGCCAGTGATCCGCGGAGTTCGAGGAGGTGAAGTTGACGGCCGTCGCGACTTTTGGCTGTTTGGCTAACATGGATACGGCCCTTGCGGAGGACATCAATTGCATATACTGCTGTCGATATCGGAATTCTAGCATGGCGTTGCATTCGCTGTGTTATGGCATCTTGCACATGTTCTGCGAGAGCTCCAGGCTGTGAGAAGGGCGTATCTGTCAAGGTACCGTACATCTATCACTTGACTAATGCCATCTGAAATGCCAAGACTTCTAGAACTCCCGTCGCAAATCAATGGACAACCACTCAAAAGTACCTGTGCCTCTCTCACACTTGCGACAACGTTCGATCACACACAGAGCACGTCCATCGGTGGCCACTAGCTTCTTCCCAGCCATACTAACACAGGTCAGCAACGTCGACCTTCGAGATGACCTCTTCAATCCGGGCACCGCAGTGGGTAAGTCTTGCTCGCCGGAGAAATCTGTCTTTATCGTTGAATCCAATGCTGATGATATGAAAAGGACAAGCCGGCACCGACGCTCGCCTCAATGCCCACTGAAATCCTCGATCGAATCTTTCGCGCCGTCGTTCCTGGATATTGGGTGTACTGTGGCTCCTACGACCATGGCACAATCAGACTAGCATGGTCGCCTAGATGGATTCCGGGTCTACGAGTCATCTCCAAGCGTTTCAAAAAGATCATCGATCCAATTCTGCTCAACTCCCGCTGGCTAGGTTATCCGTCGCATTTAGCCGACCTGTACGAGGCGTTGGCACAACAACCTTGGGAGGAGCGTCCGCGTCGACAAGTGAAGGGCTGTCGCAACGATGAGAAGTAGCATGACTGCTACGACGACGGGTCAGTCTGTAGCCTAATCCGTCAGTAGCCTGCAGGACCGTGGCGCAACTTCGTCCTCGGTGGCGAAACTCGAGGAATAGAATCTGCCTCGGAATCCTGCAGGCGTGTTGGGATTCGACCGGACTTTGCGTCGCAGGCAATGCGTCGCAGGCATTGAGGATTGCCAGGCACGGTGCAGTCAGTGTCTGCGCGACGGTTGTCGAGATTGCGGTCTGTTGGGACTAGAATGGCTAGATCAGTCATTGTGGATGTCAGCGCTCGTAAGTAGACAAAGCCGACAGCTAGTAGCAATCTCAAGCCACATTGCTCGATGTTATCTCTGTAACAATGACTGGCAGACAAAATGCTCTGTGAGAGTGAATAAAGCAGTGTAGTGATTACCTTTCTCACAAGGTACCCTCGTCTTCTAGCTCACCCTGGCGCCTCAAGCTCTCTCATCCAAAAAGTAAGTATCTTCCCACAGGCATAGCAACAGAACACATATCCCATTCCAAATACATACGAACGAAATGTGCTGCAGCCAAAACAACAACAACGGCGTGGCCGAGAACGGCATCAACCCGCGCAGAGCCTGGTTGCCGTGCTCGACTGAGGGGTGTACCGGAGAAGGGTTTTACGAGAGTCGGTGCCCGCGATGTGGGTGGATCATTCGTTGAGGTAAGATAACGCGAAGATGAATGAGGTAGACGAGGTGGGGAAGAGGGGCGGCATTAGTTTCGAGGAGATTTTGATCATCCTCAGTGAGCGAAAAGGTAGGGCATGCTCCGCCTGCCTTGAACAGAGATCTCACAGTGCTCGCTGACCCAGATTGACTTCATGAGAGCCCTGATGATGGAATGACAGGACTGTGCAGCAAAGAGTGGATCGAAGGCCGGAGCGGAAATGCATTGCTTCCCAAAGACAAGAATAATTCAAAGGTTGCGCAACAATGACTGACACGACGTAGATCTGGACATCGCGACGCGACGGTAGGGTTCATCGTCTTGCAACCGAGAATCGCTCGTTCGCTCGTTCGTACCGCTCGGCAGCGCAAAGACTGGCAAAGTTCGATCGTGTAGCACCGAGCGAAGGACAGAACGAAGTGGGAAACGAACCGGGAAGCTCTCTGCTTGGCAACGGCGGCGTTTTCGGACCGCGCCAAGGCCCGCCCGGGTTCAGCGGAAGATCTCCAAGGACTCCAACTCGATTCAGGTACGAGAAGTTCGTAAGCAAACAAGGCAGGCGCGCGTTTTCTGATAAGCAATCTCTATCAATACACAGCTGGTCTGCTTCCTGTACAACACTTAACCCACTGCAGCGGACCTCGGCCTCGTTCTCTGATACGCAGGCTTTCCTCAATCTCAACCCATCTTATCAGTAGCCAAGCCGGCCGCGTACTTTCTACCAGACCGCAAGCCCGCGCAGGCAGCCCTCGAACCGTCACACACGCGACCACCGGCTCACAGAACCGACATAGAACATCACGCACCATACCTGTTTCCCCGGCACCAATGGTCACAACCCGATCCTCCCTCCCGCCTGGCACCTCTCCCGATCCATCCGCAGCAATGTCTTCCCTAGAAAAGCCAAAAGCCAACGGCAGCGCTACACAATCTCCGCGACAGAGAAGAGGCAGCAGCATGTCACGCATGGCCGCCGCTGCTATGGATAAGATCGATGCCTTTCAAGGCCCGCAGGAGAACATCTTCCTTTTCGCACCCAACATTATCGGTACGTAGTTCACCATCGAAGTGGCCTGATCTTCGACCGGGCGCATTCGACATGTTCTTGTCGAAGACGAGGCTGACCTCTGGTTTCAAACAGGCTACATCCGAGTCCTCCTTGCTTTCGCCAGTCTCAGCTACATGCCAATTCACCCCAGAACATGTAGTCTGCTCTACGTGAGTACTACCACGACGTCGATCCTGGAACCACCCAGACTGACATAGAACAGAGCATATCCTGCCTCCTCGATGCCCTCGATGGCGTAGCTGCCAGGCGATACAACCAATCCACCCAATTCGGCGCCGTTCTCGACATGGTCACTGACCGCTGCACAACCACGTGCCTGCTCGTCTACCTCGCCTCGGCCTTCCCACGCTGGAGCATGGTTTTCCAGGGCTTGATCAGTCTCGATTTTGCTAGCCACTGGATACATATGTACGCTAGCTTGGTGGGCGGAAATGCGAGCCACAAGAAGGTAGATGAGAAGAGGAGTTGGCTGCTACATTTGTACTACACGAACCGCGTATGTCCACACGGATTCGACCTCGGTGTATACTGACATGAGCTACAGAACGTCCTGTTCGCGGTCTGCGCCCTCAACGAGCTCTTTTTCATCGCTCTTTACCTACTGAGCTTCTCCTCACCACTCCTATCGCCAGCACTGCTCGTCAACAACACCTCGAATCCCCTCAGCGCACAGCCTGGCTCTCCAGCCGTGCCGAAGTCACTCTTCCCGAACCCATGGTCAGCAGCAGCGATGGAGCTGGCAAGAGCAAACAAGATCGACAGCACTGTGCCGTGGATCATTGCTGGGGTGAGTGCGCCGGTGTGCCTCTTCAAGCAGGTCCTCAATGTCATACAACTCATCAATGCGAGCAAGAGCCTAGCAGAGGTCGATATCAAAGCGCGGAGGGAGGCTAGGATGACTGAGAGGAAGAAGGCGCGCTAGAATGCACGCACAGCAGGCCGGATCACGGCGGTGAGGTCAGTCTTGTACAACACCAGCGAAGCATCAATACTCTGGGCACATGGTCACCGCGATAGATGGACTACAATCATTGATACGATACCAATACGACTCTTCTGGTTGGCTGTTACGCCTGAAAAGGAGATACGTTGTAGCTCCTGGTCTGACCTTCCAGGACAGCATGCGTCGACATGGCATTCGCCAAACGCGAACCTGACAGTCCTATTCATTCCGAACAGCGCCACGGAGGACTCCATCGTCAACGTCAGCAATGACTATGCGAGTGCAAGCCCATGCGACTCTCTCCCGACACATACAATCTCTCCTGATCTGGCCGCGCGGTGATCTGGCGAGGATCTTCTGGACTCTCCTGCAGGATGCCGGGCGTGTTTGCTGCTGCTTTGATGCCGAGACGGCGATTGCACAACAATGGGCAAGTGGTATGTATTCTCTGCATGTTGCTGACCTGCTCTTGATCACAGGAGTGTCAAGCTCCTGCTGCTCGGCACACAGCAAAGGCTCATCCCCAGAGGTCATGTCTTTCGCACACAGCTCGAACCGCGGCGAACGCCCCACGGGAAGCCACCAACCTCATCAAAACACGAATGCCGATGAGAAACCAACCACATCCATCGAAGCCAGCCAGTCAGGCGGCCCTGCTGTCCACGAGCGTATCACGGCACATGGCCTTCCCGTACTCGACTCCCCCGAGCCTTGGTCCAGAACCTGGCAATCAAGACTCTCGTCGGCGGCGAAGGATGCCGAGGCATTACAAACGGACCAAGAAGCGACGGATGATAAGCTTGAAGAACTCGACCTCCGACAGCCCTCCTCGGAAGGTGGTGCTGCAGACCATCATAAAGGAAAGGACATCGAGGAAGTCGAGGCTGGGAACCCGAATGCCTCTGTCACATGGAAGCCGACCTCCGTCATTCACGGCAACGACAATCTTGCGCATCTCCTATCCGACGGCCTGGAGCACTCCATCCACCAAATTGCCACGGCGAATGAAGCGCCGCACCCGCCGACTCCTGCCGAGAGAGCGCAGCGGCGAGCCTCGCGACCTTCGAGCGTCCTCGATAACCTCCCCAACCTGGCTTCCGAACTCAGCGACTTCCTCGCAGAATGCAAAGCCGCTTTGCCGCAAATCTTTCCATACAACTACCCTCTCCTGTCCGTCCACTTCCGGTCCATCGAGAATTTCCTCGATCTGGGCCCCGAAATCATCGATGGAATTTGCTGCAGCTGTGAGTTCATGAGCCAAGATCGGCAGCCAGAGCTGCTCGCAGCGTGGGATGCAGTGTACCGTCCTCTTGTCGCAGCCATGGAGAGGGATATCGGTAGAAACCTGCGCGGATTTGATCATGTCTTTGGCTACTTCTCGACCTCGCCGTCCTCGCCGATGTACGACGGGACGATGGACGTGAAATGGATGGAGGACAGACCAAAGCGTCTGTTGACGTTCGCGAGGCAGATGTTGCGTTATGTGCAGATTCTCGACGAGGCGAAGGCGGCGGTGCTGGAGGTGTACCCGGAGTGGCATGATGCGGTCGAGAACTTCACCGAAGATGACTGAGCGGAGGGTATGTGGGTGAGAGCTGGAAGGATGAAAGCGAGGCATTCACGGGCGAGTCAGTTGTCGGTCAAAGTGGCGACATTGAGGCGATTGGGTGCAAGACGCAATGAGTCGACGAAGGAGAGAAGAAGTCGGCACCGTCCTTGTTGTCAATGTGGCCATCTCGTGGCGGACAGGTAAGCTGTTGGAATAGACTGCCTTGTCCGCTCTTGCGCTATCGCGGACGGTCTTGCATCATCCCTTGTGCTACCAGGAGTCCTCCCTGGTGGTCCGATCCAGCCAACCGTAGCTGAATGATCTGGTCGTTCCGTGTCCACCTCGCAATTCAAGAGGATCCTCCTTGCTGGATCTTCTGATGATGCCGTCCTCTCGCCAATGATACGTCGTCTTCTTCCGGCTTGCCATAATCAGCTTCTGGCCAAATGGAATGTGGCCAGCAGATATTTTCGTGGCTGGGCAAGTCCGTGTCGTTGGACGCGTCGCACTGTGGTGACATCTTCGTGAGCCTGTAGCAAGCCATGTCAGCCACACCCCTTTCCAATGACCGTATGGGAGCGTAGTCTTACAATTGAGTGTTTGGCCTCGGTACTTGTGGGGGCGTCTCTAGATCTGCATCAATGACATCGACCACGTCATCCGCGCTGACGTTGAAACGTCCTTCGAGGAGTATGCTGAGGTCGGCTGAGGAGGCGCACCCTGAGAGGTCGCAGACCGTATCTCGGTTGTGATCGGAGCTGGCTCTGTGGCGTTTGGAGGGGCGTTGGTGCCTGCTGACGTTGTTGTGGGCGAACTAGTTGATGTTGAAGAATGACCAGGCTTGTCGAGGACGGGCGATGTCGCAGTTGGAGGAACAGGACAAGCCGTAGACGCAGCGTCTGCGAGCTGAAAGCGCGCGGAGCGAGGCAAAGGCGGAATCGGACCCTCGACGAACGGCGGGTTACCGAGATAATGGGTGCGCATGTTACCATCCGGGCCGCAGTAAAAGCCCACTGTCGGAATCAAGAAGCCATTAATCATCTGGAACCAGGGACTATCCTAGAGTCAGCATTGAGCTCGAACTCGCGTTTGGGGAGGCTTCGGCGGTGTACATACGGGGGTTCGTCGTCAACGATCTCTTCGAGTGAAGCACGGGGACGGCGTCGTCGGGATGGCGCACAACACCTTGGGCCTTCAACCTCGCACAGCCATAGTGCTTTGCCATGCTGTTGTGCCGTAGTCGAGAACTGTGCTGACCACGGAGCGCTCTGCAGATATTACAACAGAAGTCGAGAACGTGAGGCTTCAAAATCGAATATGCGGAATTAAGATTCTTTGCTCCGGATTGTGGTTGGTGACTGAAGGTAAGTGAGGCATCAACGACATCAGGCGTTGACTGAGGCAATCATTTGCTGAATGTCCTTGGTTTTTAACTCGGTGGTGATGGAGAAGGCGACACGTGACCTTTATGTACAAGCTATTCATGTTGCAGATGTTCATACCAGCTCCGGGACGGCTCTAATCCTCGCGTCTTGTCGAAGCTCTGGAATGATTCTCCGCTGCGCACTGCCGATCGAGGGGTTCGGCAAGTCGTCCTCACCTCCTATAAGGATGATCGCTGAGCTGACACAAGCCCAGAGTTCACTCTTGTTGTGATGGCAGGCGAAGCGGCGGGTGTATTTCGACGGCTCGCTCTCTTCGAACGCTGGGTCAAACAGCATCAGCCACCGCAACGCCCAGCTCGCTGTCACCTTGTCCAAAATAAAGCAGCCAGCTACCCTTGAACTGTACGAGACCTTCACAAAATACCACGTTGCCGACCTGACCTTCCTGTTCGTTTCCCTCGGAGACTTCCAGCAATGGCTTCTCCAGGCGGGCGAGGGGACCTCCAGCGAGATTGTCGTAGTCGACAAGCATTTGGCCGACCGAATACTGATTATTCTTGTACTTGCCACCTCCTGTCGTTGCTGCATTGTAGATGAAAAGCCATTTGCCGTCCTTGGTTTTGATCGGTGAAAGACCTGCCTCGAGCAGTCGATTCTCCCACGAATGAATGCCGTGAGCAAAGTGGTCGCCATATGACTTCGTCTCCCACTTGATCAAATCGTCACTTTGAGCTCAATAGATTGCTGACTCTCCCCAGAGCATGTTGAACTTGCCGTCCCTGTCCTTCTCCGGAAAGATCGCCCCGGCTTTGGTCCAGTCGTTGCGGATGCCCAGTCTGCCGTCTATACCAATCTCTACCTCGGCCCACGTCGGAAACATCGGCTCGTACTTCTTCCAGTCCACCAAATTCGTAGAAGTGCACATGCACAGCCTAACCCTTCCCATGCCATAGGACGAGTATGTCATGTAGACCGTTCCTTCATAGCGCATGACCCGTGGATCTTCGCAGCCACCGCCTTCTTCCCACGGCTCAGTAGCCGTCAAGATCGGGCGGTCCAGGCGCGTGAAGGAGATCCCATCGTCGGACCATGCAAGACCGATGCTGGAAAGGCCTTCGTGGTTCTGTGCGCGGTAGAACAGGAAGACTTTCGCGTCGAGGACGATGGCAGCGGCGTTGAAGAGGTGGGCGGCCTCCCAAGCGTTGTCGGGGTTTGGCTTGAGGATAGGATTGGCTGCATGTTTCTTGAAGGGGCCGATCGGGAAGGTGGGAGGGATGTAATTGGCGTCGCCTTCGATGGATTCGGCGGTGATGGTGGGCGGCTCAGAGACGTATGCGATGTGTGTATCGGTCTTCGGCCGGTCGTCTGGGCGTGAATCTGTCGAGCTGTGGGTCACGCGAGTCATCTTGCTGGAGGCACGAGGGTTCGGGCTGCTCTGCCGTTGTTGAGACGAGTCAATTCATGCAATCACGTAGCCGCGAGCTCGACGATACAGTTCGTGCTGAAGCTGCGGCAACTGCTTCAGCCAGCACTGCCTACTTGGCTTGCGACTTCCATCAGAGGACTTTGAGACTTGAAGGCAGCTACAGACGTGCAGGACGACGCAGTAAGCTGCGTCGTACCTGCATTTCCAAGGCTCGTGCCAGCGCTTGCGGGGAAGTGGAAACCGCGATGAACTACAGCCACGGTGATGCAGCTGGGCCTTGTGCGCTGTCTTGGCTGTTCATGGGGGCCCAGAGCGCTCCTCTTCCGGCTCCATGACGACCATCACCTTCGATTTAGCCTACAACCATCCAAGTTACGCGGATGATGCATGGGCCCTAACAGCTCATGCGTAACGCAGAAGCTCAACGACGTGTTCGTACCGGCTGTCTCGCTTGTCGCAAGAGGAGGCGGAAATGTAAGGTCTGCTCGGTCGGCGTGTCTCCGCTGACCAGAGTAGGTGACGAACTGAAGCCAGATGCAACAACTGCGTGAAACGAGGCGCGCTATGTCAGTATCCTGGCTTTGCAAATGTGTCGGTGCATGAGTTCGCGCCGCGGGACAATAATCACGCAGGGCACAGGTACGACACGAATGGGGATAGGTCGCCGACCACTACTTCGCTGTCAGGCGGCAGCTACCACAGCTCCAGCGGAGCGCCAACGGCATCCATCGCCAGGTACAGACCACCTCCGCCCCAGCGAGCACAGACGTTACCAGTCGCACTACATCAGATCGACTCATCACGAACTTCGGCCCAGCTCCATGGTCACAGCGAGTCGAGTGTCGTGGATGGTCTGAGATCCGTCGCCACTCGGCAGGGCGCCAAAACTGCGTTGGCAGACGTCGCCGTTGTGTCGCCCCAGCATACGTCACCAACATCTAGTTCCAGGGCTGACGAGATCGATCTCATCTGCCACTTCCGGTACGAAGTCGCTCCGTGGCTGGATGCCTTCACCTGCGACGATTTCTTCGGCGTGAAGCTCTTCGGTACAGCCCGCAAGTATCGATCCGTGATGGCTGCTGTGCTTGCTGTTAGCTCTCGACATTGTGCCAGCAACTTGAGTGAAAGTGATGTGCAATGCCGTCACTACCAAGCAGAAGCCGAAAGTCTAGCACACTACGATCCCGACCATGTGCAAAGCATCGTACGCCATCTCATGCTGTTGTACACAGTTCTCTGCTGTACAAACGCAGTAATGGTGCAAGGCGCACTCCAGCAATTTCTTGAGTCGAGTATGACCGGCCAAACCGAAGAGCCGTTCTGGCGTCTCTTTTTCAGGCTGGGTAAGTACCGACGTTGTTGCGTGCGTTTGCTAATGAGGTTAGACCTTGCTGTCGCTACTGTTCTTGGTTGCTCGCCTTTGGTCGGCTCCCGCCACTGGGACCGCGTGAGCGGGTTTTCGCCCGCAGCAGGAGAAGGAGAGATCTCCACGCCTCTTCAGCTGCTGGCAAGCGCTTTTTCCTTATCGAATGCAGCTCTGGAGACCGCCCAGCCCGCAGGCGCCTTATGGGCTGAAGTATGGACTGCATTGCAGCTATGGCATCGGCGGCGTGCAGAGCACATGCTACCAATCGTCAGCTGCGGCACCGTTGAGGCCGGCCAGATTGATCTCAGCTCGGCGTCACTGCCGATCGAGCTTTATTCCAGCGCGCAAGCCCTTCTCTCGAACGCAACATATCACTTCGCATCACTCATTCTACTGTCCTCGCGACCACGGCTTGTCAAGCCTCCACCATCCGGCTCTCGACAGGCACTCTCAGTGAGCTGGCACATGCAGTCCATCGTGGGCATGGCTACGCAGAACGCGTTCGAGACGTCGCAGTGGGACCCGATCTTGATTGCAGCTCTAATATACGTCTCTCCGCGTTTGACGCATCACTCCCAAAGAGAAGTGCTGCAAAGCTGTCTCACAAGAGCAGAGAAGGCTACCGGATTGTACGCGTTGACGGCCGAAGGCAGGACTTGAGATAGAACAACCACCGAGTCTTTCGATGCTCATTACTATTACCACGAAGACATATCTATCTCCGCCGATCCCCATCAGTGGCCTCCTGGCTTCGGCTCGTCCGATACTTTGGACGTGCTGAAGCAATTACGACTCATACCTTCGACTCGTGCTGCACACTTGCGAAAGAGCCCTCGCCACTCTTCTCATCAGCGGCCCTGTTGCCGTCGAGGAACGCAAGCAATCCAACGTCTCTCTGGGCTTCTCGCAGCAGCAAAGCGTCTTGCTCACCAGTGTTGGATCCAAAAACTCTGTCCATCTCTTCCAATGTCTTGTTCTTGGTCTCAGGGAGGAAGTACCAGACCCATAGAATGCCAACAGCAAGGAATACGGCGCTGCGAATCATGTCAGCCTTGTCTCGTGAGATGGATATATGGCGCTTACAAGAAGATGTAAGTCCCCCATTGCCAATGTTTCAGCATTGGTCTATCACCTGTTAGTATGAACATGTATCGGGAAGAACCAGAACCGGGAGATTGATATCTCGCCCGATCCAGGTTCATATGCATACGTACGGGACGAAGAACGCAATGGCGAAGTTGTTGATCTGAATGGCGGTATGTTAGCGTCCGTCGCAGGACTGGGGAGGGTTTTATTGAATGAACGACATACCCAGTTGCTGAAAGCTCCGAAGGAGGCACCCTTTGCACGAATGGACAGCGGGAAGATCTCGGAGACTAGCGTCCATGAGACTGGTCCCCAAGTGGCTCCGAAGCCAGCGATGTAAACCCAGATTAAAGCAACGGCAGTCCAGCCAGCCGCAACATGTGCAGGCCAGTCATGGTGAAAGCACGCGACAATCACGCCAACGATGACCATCGAGACGCACATCACGATAGATCCGACTATCAGCATGGGCTTGCGGCCAACCTTGTCGATGATCAGCATGGCGGGGACAGTCGAAACGATGAAAACGACGCCAGTGACACCTGCGATCTGTCAGTCAATGCTAGCATGGAGGACTTTGCAAGGTTACTCACCAGTTGCAAGCAGGGCGATCGTTCCCTCTGTCAACCCGAGACTCTTGAATACATTGGAGGCATAGTAAATGATCGCATCGATGCCCGACCACTGCTGGAAGAACATAATCAGCCAGACGGTGATACAGCGCTTCGTGTTGTCCCAGGTTCGGAAGCTGCAAATCTGATTAGCCTTGTCCCGGGAAGAGGGCGTGTGCTCGAAAGCAGAACTGTAAGGTCAAGGAGAGCAACTACCGGCCCGAGACATATACTCGGGCAGTCTTAAGAGCAATGCTCATTTTCGGGGACAATCTTGACCATGGGGGAGCAACTTACCAATTGGCGTATTGGCCAACTTGTTCCATGAATTGGCTCTGCTTTTGCTTCTCGGCAAGCCTTGGGTATGCACGAGCGAAAGCGCGTCGCTCAAACTCCGCTTCAGCAAGGATCTCGAGGTACTCAAACTCGACGAGGTCGTGGTTCTCTGGCAACTTTCGTAGCCAAGCAAGGGTCCGCCGGGCCTCCTCAGTCCTGCCCTTCTTCACGAGCCATCGCGGAGAGAATGGCATCCAATAGATGCCGATCGCAAGACAAATGGCGGGAATGCCTTGAATAATTGAAGGAAGACGCCACGCTAGGTTCGACTGTCCATCGCCGGTCCCGCCAATATAGTTACTGCCGTATCCGCACCAGAATGACAACATGATTCCCAAGATCGTGGCGAACTGGTAGAAAGAGACGAGGAAGCCACGGATCTCAGGAGCAGCGAGTTCAGCGTTGTAGAGCGGTCCAACACCACTGAACAGGCCGACACCGAGGCCAGTAAAGAATCTTCCAGCGTACAGCAGCGATGAGGCGCCGGCATGGGCTCCGACATAGAGGTAAGATCCCAAGATGACCCAGAGGCAAGCCATGAGCATGGTGTACTTCCGGGAGAAAATTTCGCCGAGGAACCCAGCCGAGAGTGATCCGACAATGCCTCCAAGCTGGAGCACTGAAGTAAGCCAACCTGTTGCGGCGGACGACGCGACGACTGAAGGAAAGTTGGAGACGAATCGATGCATCACCAAAGATTGGCCCAGGACACCTTGCTGGTAACCGTACTCGAAGCCGCCGAGTCTGAAATGTTAGCCATGAAGGCCTCCTTGACGATGGCGCAACTCACGAAGCAAAAAAAGCGATGAATACAATCTTCGGATTGGCAGCGATCTGGCTGAACACACCCTTCTGCTGCTTGCCGGTCATGAATTGTTGCCGGGCCTCGACGCCCATGTCGGCGCGAGCCTGATCGGCCTCAGCGCGTGATGTAGTCCGCTCCATGGTGCTTATTGGCAGATTGCTGGGAACCTTCGTTTCTGAGAGGAGGTAGGAAGGGATCGTCCTCGAGAGAGGTAAAGCAGGCGCTTTATATCCTCCGCGTGCAACCCCAGAAAGTCCAGGTCGGGGTCGTCGGCGGAGCCATGGGAAACATTATTGACCCTGGGAATTTGCCTTTACAGACCTAGAAGGGCACCAGCTTTGGCTCACGTGGCGGTCTGAAAGCAAAAACCATGAAGTGCGCTCAGGCGCGTAGCCTACAGTTCTATCTCTGGTCTAGCCTGGGCCGAATCGAGCAAAGTAGCCTATGGACTAGTCCAAAAACTAGGATTACTCATTGAATCATACCTTTCCGAAGCGCCGGTTGGCCACAAGAGTACGCGTTCGCGTGCCGGACAAGCGCTTCATACGTCTCTGCGCACCGGACAACCGTTGTGGTTGTGCGCATTATCGATTCAGGAAAGTCACAAATATCATGAGCCAGCCGCTTCAGTCTTTCCCATCGTAGAAAGCTTGACGTGGTGATAAGACTCGGCAAGCAACATGCAGCTGCCAGTGCCAAAACAGTAGACTTCAGGCCTATCCCCGCCTACAGAAATTTCTTAGGTCCACCCCACTCGGACCACTCGCCACTGGGGCAGATCATGCACTTCGGAGCAAGAAATCCGTTGTTTCTTTCACGCTTCGTCTTTCTCGTCCATGTAGCCTACGTCTCCTCGCCTTGCATGGAATGACAATCGCGGGGAGCAACGCTACGATGCCTCAATATGGCAAGCACGGAATTGTCGCCGTACGCACCTGTCACTTCACCGGCAACGGTCTCCAGCACGGGGGACGGATACTCGGCAAACATCCGCTATATCGAACTTCAGAAAGAGCTTCGATTTGTCCTATCAGCAGGCGTGACCAGTCTCGCACCCTCTCGAGCTGGATCACCGCTTGCGGAGCGAACAGAGGAATTTGTTCGCGATGAGCAACCGAATCACACAACAGAAGCACGTGCAGCAGGGAGAGGCTTGTTGTCAGCGACGACGCTCCCGAGAACGATCTCGAAGTTGAGCACAATCAAGTACTTGAAGAACTGGTTCACCGAATGCGCCCCGGAGCTCGACAAATTCGACGATACGCAGCAGTTTGGTGTCAATATACCTATTCTAGCTTCGAAGTCTCCTGCCTTGTTATATGCAGTCCTTGCCTTCAGCGCTCGCCAGACCGAGAGGAGATCTACTCAGAAGAGCCATGATAGCCTTGAGCTCTACCAAGAATCGATTCGACTGCTTGGCCCTAGCTGCAATCGCGCGATCCCAATGTTCTTGCCACGGTCTGCATCCTGGCATGTCTGGAACTCATGTCAGGCTCGCCACGTGATTGGAAGAGACATTTGGAGGGATGTGCTAGTCTCTTCAGTCTCTTCAACGTCACAGGCTTCTCCGGCGGCCTTTTGCAGGCTGTATTCTGGTGTTATGCTCGTATGGAGCTGTGCGGACTGATCATATCGAACTTCATCGAAGCCACCGTACTACCACTTGAGCAATGGGCGCCCTCTTTACCGGCGGAGTCCTCGCCAACGCTTTCGCATAGAGAGCAATACCATACCTTCGCCAAAGATCTCTTCCGCAAGCATAACAGCCCTGATATGCACGCCAACTTCGCGGTGTATCTCTGTACACAAGCATGCGATTTGATGCGCCGTCAGATCTTCCGAGTCGAGCTTGGTGAGGTCGACACTGACGACCAACGGCCTTTCGCTACGCAGTGGCAGAGCCTCTGGACTGACCTGCGCGAGTGGCTGGAAACCCGTCCTTTGGAGCTGCTTCCAATTCAATCTCCCGATTCGGAGGATGCGTCATCGCTGTTTCCGCGCATTCTGTTCACACACTGGGCAGCAATATCAAGCAATCAGCTCTACCATACCGCCTGTCTGATCCTGCTCGACACTGAGACCCTTGGGCGGCCGCCGCTGGCCATACAGGAGCAGCAGTACTCGCTGATATGGCATGCTAAGCAGATCTGTGGGATATCGATGACGAATCCGCATCTGGGAAACCTGGTCAATGCGATCCAGCCGCTCTATCTCGCAGGCCGGCATCTGAGCCACTTGGAAGAGCACCTGGCAGTGGCGAGGCTGCTCAAGAAGATCGACCGAAGCACAGGTTGGGGTGCTCTGTGGAGATTACGAGACCTCGAGGCCGCTTGGGGCTACGACGCAGGAGAGATCTTGCTCAAGGTTTGATCGACTTGTACGCATGCTCTGGAACGATTCAGGTCATCGACTCCATCATCTGACGAACGGGCAAGGACTCGCCTGGTATGACTCACGGTTTCTCATCTCTGCCCTTCCGGTCTGCATTCACGGCAACACGGATCAGCGCAGCATTGGAGCTGTCAAGACTGCGTAAGGATGTGACCAGTCCGACCGACATGATCACCAAAATTCAGGACTGTACGCGCCATCCGCTTTCTCTCCCTGCATGAAGTGGAATACTTCTGGGATGGGCCCGGGCGATGGCGGTGTGTTTTCGATCCACCACATTATGCGACTTTCGCTGAGAGTGCCTAACAAAAGCAACGATCTCGGCGGAGGGCAACGTTTCCAAGCTACGTTTTAGAAGGAGCACTAGTCATCTGCCCTTCGTCGTGCATGGTCTTGGCGTCTTTATTTCGGCTCTGTCGCTTGCTTACCCGCTGGCCTTAGCATCTAGGGCCTGCAGGCGCATTAGAAGAGGAACCGGTGGAGCGGACGAAGAGTCCCGAAGATTTGAAGTTTAGAAGAGTGTTGTTGGAATGAAAGATTTGTTACCCGAGATCTAATCTAATTTTAATGGCCACCTCGCAGCCATATTTCCCTTCCTGCCACGGACAGTCTTTACTGAGTGCACAAGCATATGGAAGGACGCTTCAGTCTCCGCATGGGACGTCAGTGGCCGCCTCAAGGTCGTGCACTATGGTCAACGACTTGAACTATCTCATCATAGCTGTGAGCCTGGACTGGCAATCGTTCGATGATACCCATCACACCGCGCCAGAACTGATTGTCAACACGCGCGCCGATCAAACGCCCTTGTGGCGGGTTGGACCTGCTTGCCATCACCAACAGTTGTCTCTCCGCGAAGCTGCTTGCCGCAGGCTTTGAGGTGAAGGTGGCCATGTGCTCCATGTCCTTGAGCTGGCATCGTCCTTCGACGCCGGGAATCATTCCCTCTGGCACAGTCAAAGGCATAACAACTCGCACTGAGAAGACTGCACCTCCAGCTTCTCCAGAGAGAGCTCCCCACGGCCTCTGGGTTCTTTTCCCTGATGATATCGAACTTGGCGACATTGCCATTGACAAGGGGTGCGTTGAAGAAGACGAGGGTTCTTGAGCGGAATCCTGGCATCGCGACAAGTTCCTCCAAGGTATCTATTCCTACGTCGCTGTCCAGACGCTTCATCTCACGAGTCATTTCGAGCAGGACGTCCCAAAACATCGTGTACGGCCCGAAGAGGAGGACATCGTTGATGCTGCGACAGGTCACCTTCAAAAAGTATAGGGTGTCTGGTTCCTGATTGTTCACGCTCTCTGACGTTGGAGCAGCCGCACTGGAGTCCCTCGTCGCCTGCATAGCGGACATGTCGAGGCGGAAAGTTGTTCTGATGCGGTTTGGGACCGACTTTCCCTCTCGGAGGGCGGGACATTCGGTCTTATGCTGTGGCCAATCCGCCTTTTGGCAGTCCTGCGAGCAGTAATTTCGAACTCGGCATTTACCGCATCGCTTCAATGGTGGATCGGAACCTGCGGGTGAATGGTTGCATCGAAAGCAGTGGGTCGTGCAAGCCATGGCCGGGGTCGCCATGGCAGGTAAAGTGGTTCTCTCCATTTTCGTGGTTTGCATCACCGCGGGTGTGGGATATACAGGAGAAACAACAGGAAGAGGTGGACGTACTTTTTGCAGGAACTCGACAGGTTCGGATGGTGGCAAGACTCATATATGTGCTCCAAGGCAGCAGCCGCGAGCAAGGACTTCCAATCGCACATCATTTAGGGCGATTCCCACTGCAACTGCAGGAGGTCTCGCTACGCGAGGCTTTCGCGACAGCGCTAAGCCAAGTCGGAACAGTACAACCAGCCCAGATCATAATGCAATGGTAGTCGACAAACGAATCGGCCGATGTGCATTGATAAGTGTGCAGCTATCTGCGCGTAGTGATCCGCGAGCAGTGTTTTGCTTGTAAGTATGATGGGCTCGCGAGCGATGCAGGAGAGAACGGGAGAGGCGTACATCCGCAATAGCGCATTGTTGTCGCCTGGGTCACCGTACCAGGACATTGTACTGCGATTTGATGCAGGCCGACGGTTTCACAAGTGTCCTGGGACGTCGAAGCATCCACCTTGGATGTCGGGAGTTACGATTTCCTTTGTTACTGCCAGCTCGTACTTCATTGACTGGGTAAGCTAATCGAGTTTATAGCAGTCACATCCTCGACTTCAACTTTCATCGTGTGGACCCTGCATAGCTGGACATTTATATTCTATCGACCTGCCACGAACTTGACTTGCTCCTCTCCCACAAACATGACACTCTCGCTTCGTTTGAGGAAGCTCTCCTCGTCTGGAATAACATCCTTGAGATAGACCGGATCCGTGAAGATCGCCCCGAAGTCTTCCAGCTTCTCTACCCAAAATTCCGCAGCGCCACTGAATTCAGGCTCGACATTCAGAGCGTGGGCGCCCGTACGAAGTGCAGTGGTGAGTGGCGCAGAGATGTGGTACTGGGAGTACTTCAGCAGCAGTTGACGTGCAGATGGAGTGCTGAGAAAGATCTGGGGATGAGAGTTGGACTGGGATCGTCAGTATTGGTGGAAGATCACGAGGCGGCGGACCTGCCCAGTAGTCATGAAATTTCTCATCAGAGAGGCTATCCAGCTTCTTCACGAGTACGGTGATGCGGACAGGCATGGTTGTTGCGTCTGACTGGTGGGTGTCTGGTCACTTGTGAATTTTGTAGTCGATGGGCGAGAGTGATGGCACATCGCGAGCAAGGACTGACCTCTATGTAGTTGGTAGGTCATGGATCACTCTGGCAGCGGCGTCAGAATTGCTCCGTCTGCGGGTCTCTGAGCTGAGCTGATATCCATCCTCCTACCTCGATTGCGACGTGACGGCAATGCAGTGACTCGCCGCCAGATCATGATGTGCTGGCGCTAGGTAATCACGGAGTCAGCGTAGTTCGAGCTGCGGCGGACGTCGAGACCTTGCTACACGTAACTGCCTCATGGGACGGCGAATCAACGCCGTCACCAGAGCTGTCGGCTTGCGTGGGATCGACCCTTCGCTTGCGTCTACAACGAAGATCGGGCATCGCTGTGTGAAAACAAGTGGAAAGAAATCAAGCGTTGCGGCCTGAAAGAAACAGATTTACGCCCTCGGCATTGGATATTGGCGGTGATAAGGCGGCTGGGCGGATACGGCGCTTCATTTTCGGCCGTATGGCTTTCGAATTCATCGCTCGAGCCTGCGACCGCTGGCAACAAGGCGATATCTTCACATTTCTGTACACTCTACGATGTATTTCTTGGATGTGTACGCTTGTGATTGGTTGTGGTATAGTCTCATTGGATCGCGGCGATGAGACGGCGCAACATTTGGTCGGTCGTCGCGGTTTTCGGGCGGCGTCAACCACATATTGAATCCACCGCTATTGTGCGTTCACTGCAGATAAGACGACAGTATTAATGCAGGTTGATCAATGACCGCAATCACTTGGAGTGGCCTCAGTTTAGAGCTGGCAGTAAGCTCCCGGCACTTATAGGTAGATTGGAAGCTTGACTCCGGCTGGATCCTTCCTCCGGGGTCCAAGTTGGCAGGCGCTCAGCACGGACGCGCCAAGAGATCCTAGCGCGTCAACATGTCGTAACTACCTCCATCCGGTCTTGACTTCCCATCAGGTGTTGCGCTTCGATGTGAACGGCGCCAACGATTGCGCTTCGAGCGCCGCGGTCGACATGGCGGTCGAAAAGAAAGACAAACCTTCACAACGAAACCTCGGCCTCAAAATCCTGAAGAGCGTGGCCGACTTCTTCAACAACAAGATCCAGCCGCATCTGGAGCCTATCTCATTCATCAGCCTGCATTACATCTACTTTTGCGGGACATGTATGCTGGCCGCCATCATCTTCTGGGCGTCTTCTACTCCTTCTCAGAGCGTCAGATTCATCGACAGTTTCTTCCTTGTTGTGTCCGCAATGACAGAAGCCGGCCTCAACACTGTCAATCTGTCCCAGCTCAACACATGGCAACAGGTCATGCTGTTCTTGCTCATTATCATGGGCTCTTCGATATTTGTTTCGATTGCCATCCTGCATATCCGCAAGACCGCCATGGAGAAACGACTTGAAGAGCTCGCTGATCGTAAGCGACGCCGCCTGGGAATTCGAACACTCACGTTTTCTCTTTCAAAGAGGAGAGTCACTGATTACGGTCGAAAAGAGGATGCGGTGGCCTCTGGCGTCGTTCAAGGCAGTCGGATCAAGGACCCTATTCCTGACGAGGAGTATCAGCCAACGTTTGCGAGCCGTGTCCGTTCCGAATCTACGAGCAATATGGTACGCCCAGAAGCCCCGCCGATCAGCGCTGGTGATCCTGAGAACGGTCAAACGGAATCCGGACACATCACTTTCGGAGAAGATCCTCGTCCCGTGCGAGAGCAGACTGGCCGTTCCCAGCTTCAACGCCGCAGGAGCTTTCTTTCCAACGTTAACCGTGGAGTCGCGGCACATTCGGCAGCGAACCATCCACGCTATGCGCAGCCAATTCTACACGTGGATGAGAAAGGATCAGGTCAAGAACATCGACAACGCGCTGGTTCGCTTGCAAAGCTCCACAACTATCTTGATTCTGTGTATGGACTTCTTGGTCGAAACAGCCGATTCTACCATCTGAGCGAAAAGGAAAGACGAGCACTTGGCGGGATCGAGTATGATGCTATCTGTGTCCTTTCGTGGCTCGTTCCTATCTACTTTGTTGTCTTCCAACTCTGTGGAGCTATTGGTGTCGGCGCATGGCTGCAGATCAATCGACCAGACACCGCCTACCAGAACGGTCTGAATCCATTCTGGACGGGCGCCTTCTTTGCGGTCAGCGCTTTCAACAACTCCGGTATGGCTCTTCTCGATGCAAACGCTACCGCATTGCAGACTAGCTACTATTGTCTGCTGACTTTGAGTCTGCTGATTCTTGCGGGCAACACATGCTTTCCACCGTTCCTCAGGCTCATCCTGTGGACCATGAAGAAAGCCATTCCCAAGACCAGTTCGCCGCGGCTTCAGAAGTGGAAGACGGTACTTACTTTCATCCTCGATCACCCCAGGCGTGTTTATACCAATCTGTTTCCGGCAAAGCATACCTGGTGGTTGGTGTTCTCACTAGTTCTCTTGAACGGAATAGACTGGATCGCCTTCGAGGTCCTCAGCATTGGCAACCCGGTTGTCGAATCCATTGAACCAAAATACCGAGTCCTTGATGGCCTCTTTCAAGCGTTCGCCGTTCGCGCTGGAGGATTCTATGTGGTTCCTATCTCCGGCCTTTATCCAGGTCTTCAAGTGCTGTACGTCCTGATGATGTACGTTTCCGCCTTTCCGGTGACTATCACCATCCGCAATACCAACGTATATGAAGAGCGCTCCCTTGGTATCTTTGCCGACGATCAGCCGCAAGAATCGATTGCGGCGCCAGCTGCTCAAGGTGGAGCGAATGAATTGTTACGGGGACTGAAGCGAACATTGACTGGGGATGGCGGGCTCAGAAAGGCTCCAACAGCGAAGTCGGCTAGCGATTGGTCAAACCAAGACTTCCTGCGCATGCAGCTACGTGGACAACTTGGGCATGACATCTGGTGGATCTCACTCGCCGTCTTTCTCATCGCCATTATCGAAACGGGCCAGTTCAACCGAGACCCCGTTGTCTTCTCAGTCTTCAACATCATCTTCGAAGTCGTCTCAGCGTATGGTTGCGTCGGCATTTCTACTGGAGTACCATGGAACGCGTACTCATTCTGCGGCGCATGGCATACGGGAAGCAAGTTGATATTGTGTGCTGTCATGTTGAGAGGCCGGCACAGAGGGTTGCCTGTGGCGATTGACAGGGCTATACTACTGCCGAGTACAACGCTCGATTGGGCGGAAGAGGAAGATGCGCATCGAAAGGGCAAGTCGAGGTCGGCAAGCCGAATGCGAAATGGGAATGACGTCTCGAACGATGTCAATCAAGTTGTATAGACGGACGTCGAGGACGGATGGGCTTGGGGAGTGCTCTGTGGATGTGGCTAGTGTCATCCTAGTTGTGTTCTACTGCTTTACGGCAGCAATGCGGCCAGATTTCCATATCGTGTCATCGGATATTCAGCATCATACAATCAGTATAGAGACCTCCATAGATTAGATCTTACACAGTTCACAATTGGTCTTCATGTTGGACCAGACACGCTACGTCTGGACAATTCGCTCTTTCCAGCACGGGCCAGTCGCAAAGGACTCCTTAATGGCCAATGTCACAATTATCTTGGCAGACATCCTTTCCTCCGTCTTGCCGCCGATGATGCGCGATTTTCGAGATGCTCATGCAGCCACTTGACTCGGTTCCGCTGACTCTAGTGAGGTGACAGCATGCTCAATCTCAGAATGATCGACTGTGAGGCAATGTATTAGCGAAAGGTTCCTCACGGCCGACCCGATTTTGTGCTACAGCATCTACGCTTGGGAAGAGAAATCTGGGCGAGCCTGTGAAGACTTTGGCAAGGCTGTCCAAGGCTGCGAATCACGTGGTGAAGACGCGTAGATAGATCTGAGTCGCCAAGACTGGCACAGCTCGAGGGAGATGACACCTTCTGAACTTCGCTTGTCACGCATGATTCACCCCGTCAAGGATCACGCCATTTGATGTTCGAAAACCAAGATGGGTTCGAGGCGCAGTGCTCTTGCATTATCGGATGGCATTAGGTTGCAGTATACCTTGATTCTCGCTCCTGGTTGAGGAGAGGTCCATCTGATCCGTGGACCGCGCCGCACGCGCGATGCCAAGCTCCGTCCTGCCGCCAGCCAGCAGCACATGCGTTTCTGAAGTAGCCAACGGCGACAACTTCTCGTAATACAGGAAGAAGATGTGACAATTCGAGCAGGATTGGGCTGCTGCGCCTTCCTTGGGGTACTCCACGGCTATTCAGGCCCGACCGAATCTCGGAGTCTGCAAAATCCCTATATCGCAGCGAAGCACAGACCGCCTGGTACCTGCCATCGCCCAAAGTCTATCAGCCGACCCAATAACAGAAATCACTCGTATGGTCAAGCACCTAGAAGGTTCAGTGCCGATATCTTGACTCGACTGCACGCATGATCCTTGTCTGTCCTGGCCAAAAAGGTACACGTCTGCAACTGACAACTTCAACGTTCAGGTCTAGCGTTCTGCAACCGAATCAAACGTCAGGGAGGTCGCCAATCGCGAACGCAGAGATAGTGGTTTCAATTACACTTATCATCGTCCCTTCCACATGATGGTTGTGGGGCGTGGCATTGATCCATACCACAGACCCACCCGGATCATCGCAGGGCATGCTCAAACAGGGCTCAGAGCCCATGCAATCCACTCTTGAAGAATAAAGAAGGATGCCATCCACTTGAGGCGTCTGTCAGGGAATCCAAAAACTGTATCCTCGGCTCGGACGTTTTATAGACCACTGCCCACCGCACCTGGAGAATAGTGCTCGAACATTGCCTCTGTTCGCTGCCGCTGTTTCGACTGGACAGAGTCCCGCCCTCGACTTCCGCTATGTCTACGATCAAACTCGACATACCGCCGTCTGAAGCGCGTAAAGGTTCGATCGTCGCATCTGAGCAAGAACCCAAGGAATCCAGCAAGGACGAGCATTACAGCAAGAGTGCTCGTGTTGTTGGTGAGGACGGCATCTGCAACATTCGATCTCGTACACAAGTGCGGAGCAGAGATGTCGAGGACGAGGGGAACGTCTGCTTCGAGGAAGATTTCAAGAAACGTCAGGTGCGATGCTCAGTCTCGTGTCCATCAGTAATTAACGACGGTCTAAGGTGTTCTCGGGCAAGCTGCTGATGTGGCTGGCGTATCAGTCCATCGGAGTGATGTGAGTACCCCAGCAGACTTGCATCGGGGAATGAGCGATGACATGAGCATTGGCGCGAGCAAGCACACAAAGTCCTCCCGAGACATGACTGCCAACTCCCCTGCAATCTTTCATCTCATGATCACTTCCGGAGACAAAGCTAACCAAGATGGCAGATATGGGGATATCGGCACTAGTCCGCTTTATGTCTACTCTTCAACATTTGCTGGGGCCGCTCCTTCGAGACAAGATCTCATTGGGGTCTTGTCGCTTATCCTCTGGAGCTTATTCATGATGGTCACCGTCAAATACGCCTTCATCATCCTTCGTGCGGACAATGACGGTGAGGGAGGCACTTTCAGCACCTATTCATTGCTATCCAGATATGTATGCAGCGGCTTCAACAGGCGAAAGTCGTGGACTGATGTGGCAACCAGATCAATATCACGGATCGTGCTCCCCATGAATCATTTCTTGTGCAGATGAAGAGACACCGCTCAGGCGACTTGAAGCCCAGCGGTCGACAAATTCGGAGAACAATCGAGCAGAGCCCATTCGTGAAGACCGCCTTGAAGGTTATGGGCGTACTCGCAGTCACTATGGTCATCGCGGACGGTCTGCTTACTCCTGCTCAATCAGTGCTTGGAGCTGTACAGGGGATTCAAGTCGTCGATCCTGACATCTCCAAGAGCACAATCATTGGCGTCACTGATGCTATCTTGATTGCACTCTTTCTGGTCCAACCACTTGGCATCACCAAGATCACAGTCTTTTTCTCGCCCATTGTTATCATCTGGCTTGGATTCAACGCTGTCTTTGGCATTTATAACCTCGTCCACTACGATGCTGGGGTCTTCAAAGCATTCAATCCCGCCGAAGGGTTCATGTTCCTCGTGCGAAATGGCGAGTCTGGTTGGCGACAATTAGGCGGTGTTCTCTTGTGCTTTACTGGACTCGAAGCTCTCTTCGCTGATCTGGGCGCCTTTTCCAGGAAAGCAGTCCAAATCAGTTGGCTGTTCTATACCTTCCCTTGCTTGATGCTCGCTTACGTCGGTCAAGCGGCATATATTAGTGTTCATCCGGAAGCAGCAGCCAATCCATTCTTTGAGGCGGCACCTCCTGGCACGATTTACCCTGCGTTGGTTATCGCTATACTCGCTGCCATTGTTGCATCGCAAGCAATCATCACGGCGACCTTTCAGGTATGACGAATCTTGCAGGCTCTGTGACCTCGGCTGACTGGCCACAGCTACTCAATCAAGTCATGAAGTTGTCATATATGCCGCAGATAAAGGTGATTCATACGTCAACAGTCTTCCATGGCCAAATTTATGTGCCTACTGCCAACTGGTTATTGATGATAGGCACGGTCTTGGTGGCGTCGATCTACAATAACGTTAGTCAAGCTTGTTATCTACTGCAAGCATCTACTGACACGTCGGTAGACCACATCGCTGGGCAATGCGTATGGCGTCTGCGTTATGTTTGTCACGATGTTTGACACAATCATGGTTGGGCTAGTCGCTATCGTGGCGTGGCAACTGCGGCCAGTCTACATTGCCTTCCCATTTCTTGTCATCATATGCTTGGATGGCACCTACCTCTCCTCGGTCCTTACCAAAGTCCCTGATGGCGCTTGGTTCACGCTGGCTTTGGCAGCCCTTCTCGCCTTGTGTCTGCTCCTGTGGCGGTTTGGCAAGGAACAACAATGGGCTGTGGAAGCCGAAGACAGGGTGCCAACATCGCACTTTTTCAAATCCCTGGACAACGGCGACCTCCAATTCACCGAGCAGTACGGCTCGAGCTCGATAACCACAACGCCAGGCGTGGCCTTGTTCTTCGACAAAGTTGGCAGCAAGACTCCAATCGTGTTCAGCCAATTTGTTCTCAAGTTGGCGGCGGTACCACGGATCAAGATCATGCTGCATCTGCGACCAGTCCAGGAGCCATCCGTGACAGACAAGCGGTTCCATGTCACCAGACTCGCAATTGAGAACTGCTACAGAGTCGTGGTCCGGTATGGCTACAACGATGAAATAATCACTTCTAACCTCGCTGCTGTTGTATGCGATCAGGTCGCTAACTACCTCGCATACAACGAGAAACACACGGCCGCGACGGCTGCATTGAGCAAGTCGGGTGTCCGAAGCGGCGATGACGTCTCTGAAGTTGACGACGAGTTGGTGAGATTGCGGAAAGATTTCGACCGAAATGTTTTGTACATTATGGGCAAAGAGCAGATGAAGCTGAAGGCCAAGTCGGGCTATTTTCGGAGCGTCGTTCTGTGGATATTCCTTTGGGTGAGAGAGAATACCCGGACGAAGATGGCGAACTTGAAGCTTCCAATCGAGAAAATGGTCGAGGTTGGGTTCTTGAAGGAGATATAGCGCTTGGTTCACAGAACAGATGGAAGGTTATTGAGTGTCGTCTCGCTGCGTCTTGCTAGATGCTACGTCAGGGTGCTCAGTGTTAGTGCTCGGATCAGGGTATGCTAGAAGGGATCAGGGTATGCAGTTGCTTCTCCCAAGCTGTTTGGCTAACCACTGGGCGTTCTTCTCGTTGCAACGTATCTGAGTCCATTTCTTACAGCGCCCTCCCTTGCCAGGAATTTCACGAAAGAACTTTCCCACTGATTGACGCCCAAGTGAGAATCGTTTCAAGACCATCCACGTGGTCAGAGAGACATCCTCAGACCTTCAGCGCCCTCGCTGGTCAGGAAGTTTGATCGACCGGACAACGCCCGATACACGCCAGGACAGCCTGTCTCCCTATCGCAGCTACTTGGCAGATTGGTCGACTCAAAGACAATATCGAACTTGACAAGGCATTTGACGAAAGAGCAAGTCTCCAGAGCGAATGTTCTAGTCTGCGTCTATCGTCTCATATCAAGACGACAGTCTGCGCTCCAGCTCTGCTGAAGTCTCTGTACTGGTCCAATGCGTTGTTGATACCGCTGACATCGTCTAGTCCATGCACCACCTGGAAGTCGGCCGGCAGAAGCTTCTCAGTCCTCAAGTACTCTGGTACCTTCGCCCAGAATTGAGCCGCATTGGGCGCCAAACTGGCATTCGTCAGGTCGTGGACGAAAGCAAACTTGCAAAGAGGGAGGGATGCCCCCAATTGCTCCTCCTCGTCGCCCTCGAATGGCAGCAGGGTCTTCAGCGTCGATGGTTTGTCCTTTGGCAGGAGTCCGATGACCAAGTCCACATCCAGTGGTGCGCACGAGTACACCTGTGTGGCATTTTCCGGACCTGTGATTGCGTGGATCTGCTTCACCATTTCGGCCGAGGAGCTGTGCCGGTCGATGAAATGAGTCGCGCCCATGGCTTGCAACTTAGCACTGTTGGAAGTGCCCGCAATGACGATGATCTTGCCGACGCCGGCGAGACTGGCCAGCTGAACAGCAAGTTGACCCACATTAGTTCCTCCACCCACAATGACAACGCTAGCGGTGGCGCAATCGAAGTCTTTCCTCGGCAGGTACGGGGCCGGCATGTCGAAACCAGTCTTGGTGAAGAGGACTGCGGCAGAGGTAACGAGGTTGATGGGAAGGGACGCTACTGCCGCATCGGAGAACCCTTCCGGGATGTGGGCGATTGCATCGGCATTCAGGATGGCGTATTCTTGGAGTCCAGCTTGATCGGATGATGCGGCAACATTGCCAGAGATGCCGAAGATTCGTTCGCCAACCTTGAAGCCCACCCCAGGGCCGACTTCATCAATCACGCCGGCCACGTTGTTGCCGAGAACAGCTGGAAGCCTGTCCTCGACGAGAAGTCCCCAGTCGCGGCCATAGGTGTCGTGAGGTAGGACTGCAGATGTTAGCGAACGTGGACGTGTGACGTCCTGGTCGACGCCCTACGGACATACTCATCGTCGCGGTCACTTTCACCAACACCTGTCCCTCTCCTGGAGTGGGAATGTCTCGAGTCCCAAGCTCTACAGGCTTGCCGATCTCGGTCACGAGGACCGCCTTTTGTTGCTTTGCGGTGACCATCTTCGTACTTCGGGGGTTGGTTGATGCGGTCTTCGGATGGAGGAGTTGGGAGGCGATTTTCTGCTTGCTCGATGCCGTGGGTATTCTAGAACGTAGGACAACACGTTGACGTTGATGCCAGGCCCCTGTAAACCTAGGACCTCTGCAAGTGTATAAGTAGTCGAAGCTACGTCCGCTGCCCTCTGCCATGGTGAGAAAGGTCCTGGATAGTTATGTTCGTTCCTTTGTAAGCCAGTCAGGGCATTGATATCACTCGTTACGTGTATACATGCATAAAATAATTGAAGAGCGTCCGCCTCACTCAGCGCCATCTGCCAAGAACGGTCGTACGATTCGCAAGTGAATTGAGTTCGGGATGCTGTGTCGGATCATCGTTTCGTACGTAAGGCAGGCCAGACGAACTCAATGCAAAGCAGGCATCGAAGGCCGCCTGATTACTGAGCGCGATTCATTGACGCTTCCTACCAGAACATAGCTTGAACCAACAGAGCCTTCATCACATCACAGTGGATCAAGTCGGAGCTGAACAACGCGTCGCAAGGAATCAGTGTCAATGCACGCACGTGCTATCATGTATTGTGCCACAGAGTTGATCATGGGAGGCGCGTTTTGTGTCGCAGCTACTCAAGGAGAGAAATGTCGATACATGGAAAGTGTCCTGATGTTCCCTTTGTCGCTGACATTTCTGCTCACAGTCGTGGCCGGCGAAATGAAACTTGACTTGGCGATTCGACTTGTCAAGAAGTTTAATCCGCCCTCATGCTTTGTCATCGCGTTCTGTCGACGTCACGGGTCGAGAGTCCTAGTTTCATATGCCATGCATCGGGTCGTCTTGTTCATGCCGGCTCCCTTTCACTGCTTCGCCGCCATTTTGCTGCTACCTGCTACGTCTCGACAGTCATTGGTGCCGCAATGAAGATGTCGGAGTACGTCAATGCTGGAGAATCGCTACATCATCGCCCAGCGGCTGTTGTCTGCGAGAAGTCCTTCCATTCCGCAGCCGATGAATTCCTCGGTGACGGACAGGCTTCACGGCTCTCTTACTCCGATCGAACGCCCTTGAGCCTCGGCTTCCCTTCAGAAGCATCGTTGTGGTATCTTATCATTGGTCTCGCACATGCAACTCTTCCGCATACATCTCCCACCAACCCTCAGCATCATGTGAGAAAAGGCAATAATACATGTGATGCATGACTTCCACCTGTGTGAATCGTATGCTCTCCAGTGTTGAGAGTTGTAAGTTGCTTGTGAATCCCGACAAACTCGTGCAAAGGATGGTCGTGGCCTTTGACTTCGAAGCGAAGGGACTCCCCTGCCTCAAACGCGATTCCACTCGGCCATATCGCGATCTGCAGTTCGACAACCTGCCCCGGAGGGACCTTCTCCTCCTTGGTGTAGGGATACCACAGCTCCGTGGGTGTCTGGCTTCGTCGCTGCGCTTCGGACAAGTCGGGATCCTGATCTAGCGCGCGTTTCGACGCGCGCAGTCGTCCACTTGGACCGTTGTGTTTGTACAGGTTCATGTCATCGATATCTTCTTCTCTTGTGCCGTGTGGTTGATTTTTCAGAGGAATGTTGAGCGAGATCAAGGGCCGGCCCTCCATATCAAGCTTCCGGATGATGACAAAAACGTCCATGTCATCAGACGCCTTTGTCGACATGTAAAGTGTGGCTTTCGAAGGACCGACAAGCTCAGTATATTTGTCAAACTTGTAGGTGAAATGCGCTCCATCGTCCTCCCAGTCATCTGAAGCATAGGATACTGTCGCGTCCTGCATCGGAACTTCAGGAACCAATGACCCAGCTTTGGAATCAAGATAAAGCGTACGATACGTGGTCCGAGATGGCGGATAGTTGTCTTCAACGCGATGGGCGATTGCTGGGCGATTGAAACGCAACAATGACACTCGAACTTTAGGCGTAAACTCCCATCCGTTATCCTTGCCAGCTAAGTAGTGGTCCATGAATCGTTGAAGGTCGTCATTGCTTTCAGGTTGATATAAATCATGCCACTCTTGGGTCGGATGAATCCGTAGCCTATACGCAGTCAGTTTCTATACAGTATCCCAGACCACATCAATCCTGACCATTTGTCCTTTGAGTTAGAATATTTCCAACCTCGATATGAACCCTCTGTGTGAAGTCCTGTTGAGTAGCTCAACAGAACGTACATGGGGATCTCGATATTTTTGATTTTTGGCGTTTTGTCAGCCCAATATTGGTTATAATGGGGATGCTTCTCGATCATGGTAGCAAAGTCTTCCCGTAGGTTGTTACCTCTTTTTGTGAGTAAGCTAAGACAGGCAGGAGTCATGTCGTCAACTTACCCTGCATCGACCCTGAAAGAGCTCGCCAGAATGCTGTATTCGGAATCCCTCCACGACAGAGCGATTGGCGATAGAAGTCACCGACTCCCTCCCAGGGTGCAATAGCCTTCAAATGAGGTGGCCTCTCAGCGGCAATGAACCTGGAGCCTGTTACCACGATGTTCGCTCAATGACCTTGTTCGAGGCGATGACCATACCACTGCATTGTGCCGAGGTGAGAGTTTCCTACGAGTCCAATGTTACCATTGCTCCATGACTGTTGTGCAGCCCACTCGATGGTGTCGTAGCCGTCCTGAGCCTCCTGTAATTGATGTCAGTCTGGCTGGAGAGTCCGGATCAGCTACCAACGGACCTGCGAGCCATAGTGATAGACATCTCCTTCCGAGTTGAAAGTGCCTCGTGCATCTGGCTGAACCATTACGTATCCTCGAGCACACCAATCAGCAGGATCAGGGCCTTCGAATTTTTCCAGTCCGCTCGTATGGCTCATAGGAACACCAACATAGAGGTAATCTTTGGTCTGGAAGAACCCCGTGCCGGATTTGCCGTATGGGCTCCAGGGAATCAGGGTGGGGAGCTTTTCATTCTCTCGATTTGCTGGTCTCAAAACATCGACATAGAGCGTGATTCCGTCCCGCATCTTTACAGGAACATCTCTGGTCCAGATGATGGACTCTCGCAACGGGAGGCGTCCCTCCCTACGCCAGCCCTTCGGCAGCACCACTCGTTTGTTTGGCTCGAAGTCGACCCAAAGATTTTCGAATCGGCGACGCGAAGGCAGAAACTCAACATCAAAGCCAGCAATCTTCTTGGTCTCCATGTTCTCAACCTATTCGTATTCGCAGGCTTTGTCAGTGTTCAGAAGAGACGCAGAAGACAGTCGCGAGGTCTTTAGTAGCCAGAGATAAGTTGAGAAAGGTAGATAATGCATGAACCGCGCAAAGCACGAGCTCGGCATGGGGGAAATATTCTGCACGCCTAGTGCCCGCGCGACCGCGACTCCGACGAACATCACCCATTACGCGGGCTGCCCCAGGGCGCTCGGAACACTGCCTGAAAGCAACCATTCTCTTTGAAATGTCACCACGCGCACACCCTTTAGAAACAGCTCTAAATCGAAGCTAGTCTCAAGTGGGCTCAAGTGTGGGGAAAACCGCCACGGAGCTTAATTCTACCCCGGACCCGACAGATTTGTCGGTTGCAGGGACCCGCGGAACGACGTCTCCATGTGCAGTCTGCAACGACCTTGCTACTACGCAGCAGGTACCGCATCAGTAGCCGAGGTCTCGTGCGGAACTGCTGACCCATCTAGCGGCAATGGGCAAATGATCCATCGGTTGATGGCCATACCGACGACGCCATTCATGCGGAGTGCTGGGGTCGTATCACTCGACATACTTTGTCAATCACTCGCATGAAGCACCGCTCCCGAAAGTATAGACAACATACCCGGTCGTCCATCGACGCCAGCCGGGTGAGAAAGCTGTTGCCATGGACTAGGGGAACCAGACATACGGGCATGAACGGGCGTTTTCCGTGACATGAGGAAGTCTACAAGTGCTCCGAAAAGGATCTAGCTAGCTCTCTCGACAACTCTCTACGGATTAGATTTGCGTCGGCTCAAGCAACTGCCAGGAGCTTCAGCCGTGAAGACCTCATCAGGGCGATACCCATGGGACTTCCGAGATTCCCTAACTTGAATTTAGCATATTACAACCAGTGACCAGGAGCTTCTGGTTGTCAACATACTACAGGAGCGAACCATAAGGCAGCAGACTCCTAAAATCTCACGACAACACCTCGTCGATGCGTCTTATATCCTTTTACAGCGCCTGAGATGACACTCCACCTTTTCACGCTTCCCGCATTGCGCTCGCTGGACCGCCACCCGTATCTCAATTCATTGAAATGGCCGATAATACTTGTGCTAGCATCAGCAGTATTCTACGTTTCCAGAATTGTCTACAGGATATTCTTGCACCCACTGTCCAGGTTTCCAGGCCCACGACAGGCTGCAATATCTAGCTCCTGGCTCAAGAAAGCCTCGAAAGGCGGCAATGTTGAGGGAGTGATTGCTCAGCTACACAGACATCATAGTAAGTATAAAATCGATAGGAAACGTACACTGACAGTGTCAGAAAGCGCCGCCATTCGTATTGCTCCAAATGAGCTACATATAGATGACGTTGACTACTACAAGGTCATCTACAACCAAACGGCTCCTTTTCCGAAGAACAAGGATTTCTACGACGGCTTTCAAACTCCTCACACGGTCTTTGCTGAGACGGATCCAGCCCTTCACAAGATACGAAGAAAGAAGCTGAACCCTTTCTTTTCCAAGTCCGCAGTGAACAGCTTGCAAGGATTGATCGAAGAGAAGCTTGGTAATCTCACCAAGCGCTTGAACGCATTCGCTGATGGTCATACTTGCAACCTTTCGAACGCCTTCCGATGCCTGACGGCCGATGTGATTTCAGAGTATGCTTTTGGGAGCTGTTTGAATTTGACACTGGAAAGTGATGATCAATTTTATTCCGGTTTTCTGAAAGCGTTCGATACTCTCACCCGTGGCTTGTGGGATTTCATTTACTCTCCACTGTTGCGCAAGATATCTGCAAACACACCACGACGCCTAGCCGAGATGTCTACCGCACTACAGCCCATCTTCGGCCTCGTGGCCTACGCAGAAGCATCGTTATCTTCCTTGAAGAAATTTTCAGGGCGCAAAACAGGAGCCATCTTCGAGTCGTTAGAAGGTATCTCTCACCAAGAAGCTGTAGCAGAGGCCATGGACTTCTTTGCAGCGGGGACCGATACCACAGCATATACGTTATGCGTTGCTGTCACCGAATTGACAAAGCAACCAGTCATCGCGGACAAATTATCGATCGAGCTCGGTAGTACGGTAGACGGCGAGGACCTGCCTGCTCTTACAAGACTCGAGCAACTGCCCTATCTCACTGCATGTGTCAAGGAATCGCTGAGATTTGCACTTGCTACTCCTGGCAGACTACCGCGGATAGTCCCTCCCGGGGTGGCGCTTGTTATCAACGGCATTGCTGTGCCAGCAGGCACGGTGGTGGGAATGTCTGCCACCACAATGCACCATAATACTCGGCTGTGGGGAGATGATGCAAAGGTCTTCAGACCAGAACGGTGGTTGGCCGATGAAATGCTGGATCAGAACATGGTTGCCTTCTCGAAAGGCCAACGAAACTGTATTGGCCAAAATCTTGCCATGGCCGAGATCACTCTTGTTCTAGCCAGACTGTTCAAGGACTATCGCTTCGAATTCGCGGAGGGCACAGCTCTACCTCCTGGTCCGGACAAGTTTGTAGTCGATGTCGGACATCCAGGACTGTTGATGTTGGTGAAACGCCGAGCTTAGCGCTGCGACACACGAAGGGAACCAAGCCATCGGTGTCAAGCACAGCATCGACTCGCGGTGGCGCGTTCAAGATGACTCGTAAGCAGATGAGGCAGTCTCTGCGTAGGATGGCGGGCGTTGAGCATAGTAGCGGGATCATTGTGCAGGCTGACGCACTCCGAAGTCATTAAGACCCAGCTGGTCTTGAATCAAGTGCATTGTGCCTGGTTGCGTCAGCGCAATGCTGAGAACATTGTCAAGCATCGAAGATTCTTGACTAGCTAGAGCACAGTGTCTCAGGGAACCAGCAACAGGTCATACATCTCCCAATCCGTGAAGACGAGTTCGTCAAGATTGCGCTCATCGGCCCCAAATTCAATCGCACAACAGGTATCTACTACGTCTCGCGCCATCTGCACCATTGCAGTCGCTAGTCTTCCTAGCTCTCTGTATCTTTCAGTGAGAGCTTATCACATATGCTTGGTCTAGATTTGGGTGATCGTTCCATCAAAAAGAGTCACTGCCGAATCTGAGACCCGGAGATAGAAGCAGCAAACGGATAGTGACAAGTCGGCTGTAGCGAGTGTCGGATCGCGCACAATGTAGTCTGTAGTCCGCACCTTACGCCACTAGTCCACATAGGAGCTGTGAGTGTTCCAGACCATGCAGCTTCCCCAGAAAGGATTCCAGCTCATCCGGGGTAGTGCAACCACGGACTGACGCAGACATATTAAGCAAGTCCGCGTGTACTAGTTCTCTCTCCTGTTCACTTGTAGCAAGCTGTTCTCCTCTCGAAACAATCTTCTGTTACTTTTGCATCATGTCTAAAATGACAATATCGGCGGCTGACAGTCAACATTACGAAATCCACCATGAGACTCACCAGAAACCCCCAACCGACCTGGATGACCCACATCGTGCCGCCTTGGAAGACAATCCAGAGCACGCTCGACGGCCTTCCTGGGCAACGATCAACGCGGTCTTGGTGAGGTCTTCTTGACAAGTCGCGGACTTCTTGCTAACGAGGCCAAGTTCCTGGCACTGGGATTTGTCTGCCCGGTTGGCTGCGCTTTCACGCTCGTGACGTCCGTCATTGTCAGAATCCAGACAGATCTCAATGATACTACTGATAAGGCGACTTGGCTAGTGGGCGGCTGGTCTCTGGCGTCTGCAGTATCCTTCTGTCTAGCTGGCAGCGTCAGTGATCTTTTCGGACGTCGATACACCATCCTATCAGGGCAACTCATCTGCGTTATCGGTTGTGTACGACTAGTTATCCTTCAGACCTGCTCGATTCTGACCTTCAACAGATCGTTGCAGCCACAGCCAAAGCTATGGACAGTGTCGTTGTGGGTGAAACACTCGTCGGCTTTGGCGCTGGCCTCGTTTTCGTCGCATATGCCGGCGTTGCGGAACTCCTGCCCAATAAATGGCGGTAAGTGATGACTGCTTCCTCGATGATCGCACTGACGTGGTGTAGGCATTTGGGCCTCACTGCTATCGAGCTCTTCATAAGCATACCATGGGGCGCCGCTTGTGTCATCATTGGGAACCTCTTAGCCACGCAAACGGCTCTAGGTTGGCGCTGGTGCTTCTACCTGGGGCTCATTGCTGGTGTGATCAGCATGGTGGGCACTTTCGTGTTCTACTACCCTCCGACCAGGCCCCAATTCGACGAGGACCGGACACGCTGGGACCACATCAAAGGAATTGATTATGTTGGCTTCTTTCTCTTCGGAAGTGGGCTCACAACATTTCTTATCGGTCTGACCTGGGCGGGACAATTGGATCATCCGTGGCACAGTGCATCTGTCATCGCACCTCTCGTTGTTGGTGCTGTTGGGCTTGCGGCTTGTTTTGCGTACGACTTCACGGTTGCCGCCAGACCACTGTTTCCATGGGTCGTGTTGAAAGAGTTCCGTGATTACACAATACTGCTTGCTGTTGTGTTCACTTCTGGTGAGTCGTTGTTGTGCAGAACCACAATATAATGAATCTGACGTATTAGGTGTTATGTATTTGTCTCTTGCCGCATTACTTCCACAAGGCTCCCTGTGGCTGTATACCAGCGACGCGACGGAGATCGGGCTCATCGGACTGCCAATGGGTTGCGTCTCGGTCAGTGTCAGAGATGCGCAAAATAGGCTGATACTAACTCCGTTCAGATCCTTTTCTCTCCTGTCGGGACAGCATTCATCGGCAAAGTCAAGCACATCAAGATGCTGTTGATCGGATGCTTGGTCATCCAGACGGTCTTCTCTGGGGCTTTAGCAGGTGCCACGTCCAGTAAGAGTGCCTGGATGGGTTTGTCATCATTTGTTGCAGGCCCATTCGTCTTCATTTCGGTACTCGCCCAACTCATGACCAGCTTGAATGTGCCGTTGCGCTACCTTGGAGTGGCAAGTGGCCTGATTGGGACCTTCCGCAGCGTCGGAGGGAGTATCGGAAATGCTATTTTCAACACCGTCCTCCAAGGAAGCGTTCGCACGAATCTGGGACCAAAAATCGCCGCGGCAGTTCTAGCAGAAGGCTTCGATCCCGAAGGACTCGAGATGCTTATTCCAGCAACCATCAACACAGCTTTGGGGATACCCGGAGCATTCGCCGGAATTGCGGGAGTCACACCGGCCATCGAAGCAGCTGCATTAGGAGCGCTCAGACAAGTGTATGCTCGAGGTTTCCAGCTCGTATTCTACAGTACAATCCCATTTGGCGTTGTCGCGATCGCTCTCGCAGCGTGTCTGAACGACCCTTCGAAGTACCTCACCAACCATACTGCAGTCACCATGGAAAAGAATGGAGTCTTTGACCGCGAAGGTCCGACTGAACAAGCTGTTCGTGATGTGGCTCGGATGGAGAAACACTGAAGATGTTTATGTCAGAGTGACAGCCTTGCAGCCTTGCCAAGGCCCACCAAGTGGATTGACTGGAGGTCGCTTGGATTCTTCTTAGCGACCTATAAGTAACACCAATAAATGTATTCAGCACTTGTGCATCCAGATCAGGAGCTAAGCTGGCATAGTCTCTTGACACGCGCTTGTATGGACTAGGTGCCTGAAACGAAACTTGCCGAAGTGCAGCGATTTCCTTCGCATCAAAACCTGAGTCACTCGCAATCATAGCACCCACGTCTTGTGGTATACATTCACACAGCTCAATAACGGCAGTATGGCCTCTGATGCAGCGATACTTCTGGGCATGACGTTGAAGCATCGGTATTCTAGGCTCGCACACGCTCAATACAAGCCAGCCCGATTATCGCTCCTGGGGAAACCTCGCGGTCTTCGGTCCGACGGGTGCTGCACACGATTGACCAGCGTTCCGAAGGCGCCTTCCAAGGCTTCTACTAACCCGTAGTCCAGGTGTCTACCCCGCTCATGACAGCTTCCGAATGCCCTGACTACAATACTCTAGATGCGCTTCAAATTTAGAGGCACCAATGCTTACAGTGTTCAAGCTATGGCGACGGTACTGTACGACTCCGGCGCAATGCTCACATGGGCCTACCAGTGCATTTTGTTTGGTCTCGCCTTACTACTCTACTTCTCTTTGACGTGCTTCTACAACGTCTTCTTACATCCACTAGCGAAAGTTCCAGGACCCTTCTTGGCCAAGATATCAACTTTTTGGTTGTTTGGCAAGGAGATCGAGGGTGACGCGGCAAATAACTTAGCACAACTGCACAAGAAATACGGTAGGAGTGCCGAGTTGTTGATATTAAATCGTGCTGAAAATGTACAGGACCATTGATAAGGGTCAAGCCTAACGAGGTGGTGATCAATGATCGAGAAGCTTTTGTGACCATACATCGACAAGGTACCAAGTTCTACAAGGAGGAGAACTTCTACAACTCATTCAAGGGGACACACGGAAACTTGTTCAACATCCAAGACCCAGAAGATCATTCTCGCAGAAAGAGACTCATGTCGCCGTCATTCTCTTCTGCATCTTTGTTGACTCACCAGGATATCATCTATGCCTCTATTGAGCCAGCCCTAGAGGCAGCATCACGGTTAATTCGGCTCGAGAAGCAGGTACCCCTGTTTCCTATCATTCGGAAGTTCGCGCTGGATTCTATTTCGGCTTTCGCCTTCGGATTCGATTCCGCAAACCCTACACACGTCGATGACAACTCTGCGGGAAAAATATTCAGCGCCTTGGACGCTTCTCCTCACGATCTACTCGTGGTGAGTGACGAACACTTCGTAACGATGAAGTGCTGATTCCGAACGCACAGTTTCAGCATTTCCCATTCTTGCGAACCCTTACGCGACAGCTGGCCCGACTGTTCCCGAAGATGGTACCGGACGATGTCTTGTTCCTGACACGCGTACGTCCTAAAGCTACTCGTTTCGGCGGTCGCAATTTGTGCTTACAACCCTGAATAGTACGGCATGGAAAAGCTTCAAGCATCACGCGAAGCCAAATTACCAGATAGGCCGGGTCTTTTCAAAGAAATGGAACAACTTCTCGTTGCCAAGGATCAGAAGCTCACAGACGACGAACTCGTCGCAGAGAGTAGTACACTATTTTTTGCAGGTGGGTCAATCTTTTGTGTCGCAGCACGGCTTATAGAGAATTTTGACCGTTGTAAAGGAACTGATACAACCGCAAGTACGATTGCTTTCAGTTTATGGCATCTTCTACATGACAAGGACTCCTATACCCGTCTCCAGCGAGAGTTGGAGACAGTCATGCCGGAGACGACCTCTAGACCTACTCTGAAGCAGCTGGAGGCCCTTCCTTTCCTCGAGGCCTGCATCAAAGAGGGTCTTCGAGTTACCTGCGCGCCGCGAGGACGTCTGCCAAGGGTAGTTCCATCGGATGGCTTGAGAACCAACGGCTATTTCGTCCCGCCTGGCGTAAGTCCGACCCAAGCATATCCTCCGCCGAGTATGCAGCTGACACTCCGGTAGTCCGTTGTTTCGATCCCCATAAGCTACCTGCTATATGATGAGAATACCTTTCCCGAACCGAAACAATATCGACCTGAAAGGTGGCTGGGAGACGACGCAAAGAACTTGGAGTCTTATCTATACCCATTCTCCAGGGGATCTCGTGTGTGCATAGGTCAGACGTAGGGCGCACAAACTCTGCATGTCCGTACGAAGCTAATGATGGTCTTAGTCTATCTATGGCCGAACAACGAGTCTGTATCGCGCAGTTTGTGCGCAGATTCTCTCCGGTGAAGTACGAGCCCCTCAGGCCCATTCAGGGAAAAGAGTATGTTACCTGGGTTATGATGGACGACCTAGCCATCCGACTACGGGAGAATGAGTGATGCGATGGATTGCAGCCAAGCACGGTCTGTGTGCTGCTTGAACCGTGCTCTTGCCTTCTAGTTCGAGACGCTACGATCGACTCGCTCACAACCGCTAGACTTATGTGTTGAAGGAAAGAGGAAAGCAACGGTTGTGCTTACTGCATTCCTATCGCCCGGCAGACTGCGTTCCACCTATCCCTTACATCGAGCGATAGACGAAACATCAAGCATGTAAGCTGGCCGATGTAGGTATTCGTGTCGAAAGGCTTGGAAACGTTAATTCTGGTCCCGATGCTCAGGGTCAGCGTACTTACCACCGCTTTCGTCCCACCGCTAAGTTCTACCCACTCGAAAGCTCTGGGAATCATCTCTCTCTCGTACTCTTGACATGCTGCGGCTACTTCGGCGGTTGAGACGTGTCCTCGAGCCTCAGCTGACTTGTTGAGCCGCTTGAGAAGCGGTGCGATGAATGTTGTGTCGAGCATAGCCTGGTTGCCACCCATGCCTCTGTTTGGCAGCATCACATGCATAGCATCCCCCAATAACCACACCCGGGGATGGCCTGCAGTGGGCACCGACGCTGATTTGGCAGAGGATCTCCAGTCCATGGCCGGTCGTTTGGAGGCTCGAGGCTCGAAGATATACAGTTCGACATCCTTGAGCACATCTATGACCTGAAGGCTGTGGAATCTTAGGCAAGCTCTTTGACCACTTCAAGGGGAGTCTCCGTGGCATCGCCGGGTAGGTATCAACTTACAAAGTATTATCCCAAGTACTTATCGCTTCGGACAGGAAACTCCATTTCTTCTCCAGAGTCCACTCCTTTATGTCCTCAGGACACTCACTCTTCAGCATCAGCAGGGAGAATGTGAAGGTAGCCGCTGTTTCATCGATGTCAATCTTAGTGTTCGTTGATTTCCCCGAACTTGCATCAGTACCGGACTTCGACTTCGGTGTGTAAGCTGTTGACTCTCTTTAGCACACTGGACACTTTCCTCGGTTATCTACTACCCGACTTACCAACGCAGAAGTACGTCATCTTATGTGAGAAGCATATAATTGGTCTTCTCCGGGCGGCTGCAGGAAGTAGATCGTATTTGGCTCTGGACAGCTTGACCTTCGTTATGAAATTGATCACAGGAACTTGAACAATGTTATCCAGGCCTATTTGCTGGTTGACCTGACTAGCTATCAGCATTCCATCTTCCGAGATCCACCAACTCACTTTGGAATGGCTTCCGTCTGCGGCAATGAGAACATCACAGTCTGCAGAGGTGCCATCTTCAAAAAAGACTCGGACACTCTCGCGGCTGTCCTTCGAGATAATCTCATACCTCGAAAAGCTTTTGTCGAAGTGGACAATGCCTTCGCTGAGAGGTCTCTCCATCAAAATGTCGCGTAGAACTACTCGGTCCATTGGTGCAGATCCATCATATTGTGCGGTAACTCGTTGCATGTCGATAAGGGGCTTCATGTTATGATCGTACCAAATTGGGGTCGTCTCTTTTCCACCTTCAAAACTGCCCAATTTCGACACAATCGTTGCGCATTGGTCTTCGCTGAGAAATTTCCGGAAGGCCGTCAGACAAGGTTGAGCGACACGTATTGAGTAGCCATCTCTTTTGGCGTTTGCTTTCAACTTCTCGTACACATCAACTTGAACGCCAGCCTCTAGCAGACCATTCGCCAGAAGCGGCCCAGCCAAGCCTCCGCCGGCTATGATCACGTTGAATTTCTCCATAGCCAAATTAAGGATGTCGATGCTTTACAATGATTTCCTGTTCTCTTAAGAATTTTAATGTGATGAGGCCGAATTTTGTCGTCGGTACAATACTGAGCCAAATCTCTTGCTGGCGCGAAAGTCGCTCTACCAAAGCGATTCATGAAACGCTCCATTCCTTTCAGTTTCGTCCGCGTTGGCCGATACCCGCGCCCCCTAGCCGATGCGGCTAGCGGTCTAGTTGCGCGCGATACGTTTATCCCGCTTGTATGCAGTGTCGGTCTCCTCTTTTCCGGCCCCCTTCGGCCCAGATAGAGCCTCGATGACTGTTCTCGACCATCAAAGTTATCGTAGCACGCCTGCATTGTACCCGTGCTTCTTTCTCCCAGCCAAATCGTCGTAGACAAACGTCGAGGCACGCGTGAGTGCGCTCTACGGTCCACAATCAACTGTGAGCTCGATCATCATGGCGACCAAATATGGCGACATCGAGATCGAGTTCGTTGATGCATGTCATACCATGCAAAACATGTGGGTACCCTTCGGTCAAGAGAAGAAAGTCCTGCGACGCGGTTGGCAAAAGGAGCCCGGCACTCGACCAATACCTGTTGACCTGCTATGGGAGAAAGACGTTCCTATCAAGATGAGGGATGGGGTTACGTTGTATGCTGATGTGTTTCGGCCGGTGGATTCAGACAAGTATCCTGTACCGGCGTTGATGCCATGGAGTCCATATGGAAAGACAGGCACTGGTGACTCAAAGCCATTACATTTGTATTTTCAATAAGCCACTGACAGATTTCTGAAGGCCAGCAAACCCTGAGTATGTTCCCTTATCGCGTCGGTGTGCCGCTAGATACCACGAGTGGCCTCGAGAAATGGGAGGCACATGATCCTGCGGAGTGGGTCAGAAGAGGCTACGCGACAGTCAATATAGATGCTCGGGGTGCATATTTCTCCGAAGGCGATGCCTACGTTTATGGGACACAGGTCAGTCTGTTACAGCGTTCCGCGATCTGTCTTCGCGACCTTAACATCTGGTGCTCTTAGGAAGGGCGGGATGGCCACGACTCCATAGAGTGGATCGGTACCCAACCCTGGTGCAATGGTTCGGTGGGCATGACGGGCAATTCTTGGCTTGGTACCACACAATGGTGAGCTCAAAATACTCGGCTGGAGTGCATGAGATTAATCAGCTGTGGCTAGGTTTATTGCCGCTGAGCAGCCCCCTCATCTGAAGGCGATGGCGCCTGGGAAGGCCTTGGCGACTATTACAGGGAGTCGATCGTTCGAGGAGGCATTCCGGACTATTCTTTCTGGGGTCTGCTGCTCGACATGTTTGCAGGTATGCATGAGCTCAATAACGTTTTTTTGGGTTATCTGACGCGGATCGTCATCAGGGAAAGGTCGTCGTGAGCATGTTGAATCGATGGTCGACAAGTATCCACTCTGGAATGAGTACTGGGAGGACAAGAAGCCAAAGCTTCAGAAGATTAATGTTCCCATGTATGCATGTGCCAGCTACTCCACAGGATTGCACACAGAGGGGTCGCTACGTGGATTCTTGCTCTCATCATCAAAAGAGAAGTGGTAAGGCGCCTCTTCAACCCGAGTCATATATCTCACTCTACTGCAGGTTACGTTACCACAGTACTCAGGAATGGCATGATCTCTACCAGCCAGAGAACACGGATGACCTGCAGCGATTCTTTGACTGTTATTTGAAAGGCGATGATAATGGATGGACGGAAACCCCCCAGATCCGTCTATCTCTTCTCGGCTTCAACCGGCCTTCCGTTATCAACAGACCTGTGGTGTCATATCCGCCACCGGAATACAAGTTCGAGAAATTCTATCTCGATGCATCGACAGGAAGCCTATCCCGAGCACCAAGTGAAGGGGAGAGTGTGGTGGACTATGACGCTCAGCAGAACAGCGAAGAAGCCGGGTCGTTTTTCACTTACACATTCGACAAGTATACGGAACTTTGTGGCTTCTCCAAAGTGAAGCTTTTCATGTCCACTCCAGATCACGACGACATGGATGTTTATGTTATCATTAGGAAGCTCGACGCAGAAGGTCGAGTGCTGCAACATTTGAATATCCCAGAAAAGGACTGGCCGACTGGTATGACTGCTAAGGAACAACCGTACTACATCTTTTACCGATATATGGGCCGTAAGTCGCTCTCCCGTGATGAACCGTGCACCCAGAAACGGGCGATGCTTTGAAGACTGCCCGAGCATCTGTCTTGGGTTGACAAAGAAGCTGCTCTCTCCAAGCTTACAATCCTACTTTCGAGCAAACACCCTTTTCCGAGACATAGCTAATCAGAATTGCAGCAAATGGCCGACTTCGCGCATCACATCGAGCAACTACTATGGAGCCTGGGTTGACAGAGGAACATCGCAAACTCATGTCCACGGCGTATGTCTACCATCCTCACGATAAGGAAGAGAAGTTGCAGAGAAACCAAATTGTAGAACTTGATATAACGTTGTGGGCCGGCGGGATTATCTTTGACGCTGGAGAGTCTATGCGGCTCGAGGTCAAGGGCGTGCCGACTGTGCAGCCTGAGTTTGATGGTCAAGAGAAGAGACTGAAAAACTTCAACGTTGGCCGTCATGTACTTCATACGGGAGGTGAACACAAGTCTGTTCTGTGTGTACCGCTTTCGGATTCCATGAGAGGGTAGAATGTTCTGGAGGAGCGCAAACGCGTGAAGAAGTTTGCTGATCACGAAACGATATGTAGACTCAAGACTTTCTCACTGCCTTCCAGTATTGTACACCAGAGACGCCGAACCCCAGCTTGTCGATTAACTAATTATATCCAAGCTCTCCATATTAGTCCAATCCTGACCGCCAAAAGGTGGAAACACTACTTCTTCTTCAGCGTCGCCAGTGTGCGAGAGTCCCCAAAGATTGACGATTCCTCCGCCCGAGTCCAGAAGTCCAACTTTCGAAGGATGGCAAAGGACTTTTGTGGGGTCGTGGCTCACATAGTCCGAGGAAAGCATGGGGCCAGTGTGGTCTCGGATGGTCGAGTTTGTCATAGGTGAGCAGTCGGCCATTTGCCAGCGCTCCCGTATGTTACCGAAGATGTTGCTGGACTTTGAAGTGCACGACTCCAACCCACGATGAGATCTTCGGCACAAGAAGTTATCGCAAGCTTTTTGCAAAGCTGTGACAACCTCTACCTGTTCCTGGGCCACAGAGTCATGAATGGCAAGCTGCAGTAAGATCGTTCTTGCTAAGCCGAGATATCTCATCAACGGCCACTCGTAGTCTAGATCCCCGAAGACCGCAAAGCCAATAGTCAGTGCAGAAAAGAAGACCGAGTTGACAACTATAGGCATCCGTCTCGGTAGCGCCCCTTGATGAGACATTAACTGTTGAATCATGTCCAAAGTGTTCACGGCGGCATCAATGCATGCATGCACCGCTAGGTGGCGTCGATCGCCTTCATGCTCGAATTTCGGGTGTCGTGAGTTGACATATTGCTGCTCGAGGATTCGCTCGGAGACAAGGTCGATCAGGAATGGTAGCGTGAGTTGGGACACGGTCCAGAAGTACGCCTCTTTGAGATAGTACAAGCCTAGGTTGGGATGAGGCCTGCCATTGATTGTGACAGTATCGGCTGAACTGATGCAATCAGCTTCCAGCCCATTCCGGAATAGGTTCGACCATCGGCGATGTTTGGTCCCAATCTGCTGTACGACCTCGAACGAAACTACCCGTTTGGCGTACACGAGATCTCGTACAGTTTCAAAAATTGTACACAGGTCGCTGACTGCAGAGTAATGGCCATGAAGCCGATCATCGTTTCCATCAGCCTGATTCATTGTTGGCCTCCCAAGCGCTTGGCTGAGAAATCCGTCAAGGACACGAATACTCTTCCATAGTCGTTCGCGGGCATGACTCTCGTCCGACTTCCAACTTCCGGCTACAGGCTTTTTGTGGAGGTCGAGAGTGTAAGCAGCCCGTATCGCTGTACCGATATGCATGTACGCAGCATTACTCTGCGAGTTCCCAAGCAGGTACCAAGTTATCAGGACATCACACTGAGTAGTATAGATAGATGGGCCCATAGCGAGAAGTCGATTCGCCGTCAAGTGTCTACCATACTGGTAGTAGTCGTGGGCAACGTTCTCGTCGCCTTCAGTAGCAGCATCTATGCCTATTGCAAGCACCAGGTAGATCAAGGCGGTTGATTCCAAATCGTCGTCTCCACTCATTTGGATCCATGCTGGCAGCATCCGCAAAAGGCTGATTTCGTCAAAGAGGTCCAATACACAGTTGGTAGTCCATATGAAGTGGCGAATATACATCGTGGCTTCTTTGAGCGACGGCTTCTTAGGACACACTGTTGCATAAAGCCAGTGCAAAGATGGGTTAACAGGATCTTGCGCCTTGTGCGACAAGGCATGCTCGACGAATGCGCAGCTACCGTTTGCAAGACGGACAAAATGGCGGATATGCTGGAGAAATGATAGATGAGATGTGTCCCAGAAGAACGTCGAGGTTATACGACCATTTTGCACGGTGCTCGGTGGACGCGGAATTGCTGCAAAGAAGAGATCGCTGGAAGATGGACTCTCAGCCAGCGCGATAGGTGTCTTGCATGACGACGGTTGGATAGGCGATATCTGGGTTTGCGGCGCCGTCGATGGCCGGTCCCGTGCTTCCTGAGCATCAGCATCGATCACCACACCTTGACAATCTCTCGCGCTCTGAGTCGGTGTCTGCAGGTCGACTCTATCTTCGTTGTGATTTGGCAGGAAGAAGCAGTCGTTAGCAGCCCCCTTCTTGGTGCACGGCCTGCACGGCTGTAGACCATCACATCGCTTTTTACGATGCTTACAAGTCACGCAAGCTCTCGCGGATCTCCTTCTATCACAGCTTCTTACCCTCTTCGTCGGCATTGGGGTTAATGAAGCAAGAAAAACTACCTGCGGCAGCACGATTGCGAGATTACCACGAAGGAAGGCGAAACGGGACGGCAAAGATTCCCCGCGCAAACCCGCATTTTCAGCTGGGCTTGCCGAGATGACTTCTCCCCGCATGGAGTCTCGGATCATGTGACGTGACGACAGATGCAGCTTACGGCGGCGAAGCCCTGGGATCTTACTTTCAGGGTCTCGATATTTCATTCACGAATACCTTTTTCTCCTCTAGCCGGCAATCCATCAGCCCGAGTACAACACATGGTATTCTCGAAACAGTCTGTGCGCCACCCCCGGTACTTTGATGTCTTTGAGAGCCATTCTTGCCAACAATTCGCATGACCGATAACTCGTTTCCATGTGGTTCGAGAACGCACAGTTTTGGCGCTGTTGCGGGTTCATCTATGGTTTGCTCACGTTCGTCTCACTCCAGTTCAATGTTCCACTTCGCGTAATGCACGCATTTTGCATGAGGAATGTAACACGTGAGAAAACAGGCCAATTCCTGGTGGCACTGATCTGGACTTCAGCATCGTCATTCGGACGATTTTCGAAGGCTGCATGTCGATGTCTCAGACATTGTATACCAGCGCAACTGCTGCCAGTGAATGCAGTTGACGCATTAGACTGGTCTGTGAAGGTCGCATTTCTTTGTTGTTATTTTGATGCACGCTTTTCTCGGATTTAGATACATCTGACAGGCTGCAGTAGGGGTCGAGCTCGACCAGGAACGCGCATGCATGGGTTGCGATCCGCAAGCGACTCCTTGGTCATCACGACTCTCAGACAAGCTTGCCTCAGTGTGTTCTTCCCACGTCTAATCAATCCGACGGCCTGATCCAATGGTGCCTAAAGGGGCAGGCAGTCATAGGACAACATCGGCTCGGAGAAGTCTGAGCTCAAGCAGGACAGTTTTGTGGTCCGAGAATTGAAGCTGGGTACCCGAAACAGCCTTTCGCGTGAAGGGTATCGGCATTGGCGTATTACTTGGGTAATGGTGCACTAATATTCGATAAAGCTGTTTCTTAGCACGAGAACTGCGCCTAAGATCTGTGCCTCGAAGAGTGGAGTGTTGCTGCCACTTTTGTAAAGGTACAAGCTTTGCAGAAAACCTCTGACAACCTTTGAAGCTGCGCACATCGGCATATCCTTCGATGAATCTTCCCTGATATAAGATAGATGCCTAACGTTGTCAACAGTCGTGGTCCTCCCAAACGCTTTCTGAATGTCACCCACCGGCATGGCTCAATGCGCAAGACCCAGCCAGTTGCTTGATCCGTCCAAACCCGCTACCCGCATTTCGGATCACCCCACAGCCGACTTCATTTTTACCAGGCACCGGATACAGGTGCACCGACCATCCATCCACATCGATCTATCACCAATGCATTGCTACGGTCAGCCACCCGGCAGAACTCTTCGTTGTGGTCGATGCAGCCACTCCGGTTTGCCTGGCGTTCGCAAGGCCAATACTCATTGTCAGCAATTATCGGACGCCATCGTTTCTTTTGCTGTCGCGACCAAAACAACAGATGGCTTCCTCTACCACGCTCGAGTTCTTTGGTGGGTACTCTCCCGTGCTTTCGATGCTCTGTGTGAAAAAGAGTCATACCAATGGAAGAACGCAAGCAGCCAGGCCTTCGCTCCGCGCACCCACCCATCTCCAATTCATTGTCGCAAACAAGTCATCTACAAGCCAGTGTTGACGAAGGTAACAGGCACAACGACGTTTAGACTGCGTATCGCCGGACTTACTATTCTACACGACACATGGTTTGCCAAACCAGCCTTGTTCCACCGATATTTGGAACTCGAGTCCTTAACAGAGGTCGATTACATCGTCATCTCGCATGCTCATTTCGACCAGTAAGGCATCGAAGCCGAAAGTCTTATCAGCACAGAAAAATTAATCAAGTCTCTAGTCTCCCTGGTTCTGACCGCATCGCACTCAAAACAGGAGCTACCATCATCGCCAATTGTGAGGCAATAAATTGCCTCCGCAAAGCCGGTGTTCCAGAGACCCAGCTGTTACCGGTCGCTGGCGGCGAGCGAGTCCCACTCTTCAGTAAAGAGATACTCGTACAAGCCGCCGCAGGGACCATCGAGCTAGCACCCGGACCTCCTCTGGCGCCTCGCAGACCGCATGACAAATATGCCACTATGGCTGTCCACGTCTGGCCTTCATTGCATTCCCTCATGCCCGGGGCGTCTCCACAAGATCTCCCAGACTTTTTCGACACCGGAAAGGTGTATACCGGCTCCTATAGTGATTTCGCTTGCACGATCGACATCACCAGACTTATGCAACACGGCTTCTTTCGATTGAAAGAATTTGTTCCGACTGAACATCTTGATCCAGGACTGCTGTCGTTTGCAGATTATGTCTCAGATCGTGACACGAATGTCATGTCCACTGTGATGGTGGCCAGCTCATGTACAACTTCATCTTCAAAGAGAGGTCAATTCTGTTCAACACACATCTCGGGGCTTACGAAGGTATCATGCGCTGCATAGAGCCCAAGCCAGACATCGTTATTCTCGGTGCAGGCGGACGAGCGAATCACAACGGCCGGCCATTCCAGGGTTCAGCAGCGCAATTTCTTACGAATCAACTACAGTGGCTTGGAAACCCCCCAGAAGTGTTCTTCTCTCTACACGACAAGTCGTAAGTACAGCAAATGGCGGAAAGTATAAATGATCGAATGCAGGTAATCACTGACAATTGCCTAGTATTATCAAACCCTACTATACAGACACAACTGCTGCAAAACTCATGATGGAGAGGGACGGACGGACCAGGGTAGTGGACACCGAGCTCGGAAAGCAATATGAGCTGTTTCAGTCTGACGCCGTGCGAAAGTAAAAGGAACAGCCCGGGTACAGATATCAGATGTTCGGTGATCTGCCTCATTTGACAAAGAAGCCCATGATAGCGAGCGACGTATACCTCCGACGGGAGTTCCGTCGATGCGAGTATGTACTGTCATATGTGTAGTCGCTTGCCGCTCTGTAGGGATGATTCACCATACCAATAGCATAAGTGTTCCTCATCAAGAAGTTCAAGATGTAACAAGGCGTGTTTAATGGAAATCCGGTAGAGTGACGGTGCCTATCATGTGTTAACAGACTGATTGTGGTGAACCGTTCCGTCTCAGTCATTGTCCCAGTACCTAACGCTGTCATTATCACTGCTATGATCCACATGTAGGTACATAAGGACATTGCCTGTCCTTGCTTCCGAATGTGCCAGCATACGTATTTGATTTGGAAACATGACCGTTTCTTCCGGCTTTCTATGTCTCTCCCACGCCACTCATTTTCCGGCCCTGCGGAATCCTTGAAATACGTAGAAAATTATCGGAAGAATGAGGGCGTTGATAGTGGATATAACGAACCCCGCCAAGCCGTTGAAGTTCTGATCCTGGAACATATCAGCATATGGTCGTTCGTGAGTTTCTCAAGAACTGCGGTATTTACTCACCGGAACGCTTGTGCCACCACTTTTCTTCACCCAGGTGAAGCTTCGGGCCAACATCTTCTTCTCGTATATTTGTACGCTCCGACTGACCTCTTCGGTAGAGACGGCTTGTTGTGGCTGCGAGATCGCAGCAAGACGTAGCAGCTCTGGCAGCATCTCAACACAATCGTACATGGCCTGATTACCACCCATACCGCTAAAGCGCCGGTGAGTAATTTGGCCCCACACTGAGGACGTAGACTGCTGGCTTACCGATTTGGTTGCATCGCATGAATCGAATCTCCCATCAGCCACACACGCGGATGACCCTTTCCGTCGCTGACTCCAGTTGGATGGGATCTAAGTTCTTCGCGCCAGTGTTCCGAGGGCTTCTCGCTTGCGCGCAGAGGAATCATAGCCACCGGAACACGGTCTTTGTCGGTTGAGCCGACGGAAAGCATCGTCTGGCTTTGCGTGAGTCAACAAGAGGTCAACACACTCCACGATCGCGGTCACTCACTACTCGGGAGCCCAATCTTTCATGTAGTCGAGACAGAACTGAAGGCGGTCGGCGATCTTTTCTGGCTCCTGAATGACAGAATGCTTCTTCGGTATGGTTAGGCCCCAGTAGAACGAAGCTTCGGTTTGATCGTAGTTAAAGAGGACATTGTCCTCGGTACCCTTCTTGGTCTCAGCTGGGAGATACACTAGCAAGTCAGCTTTGGCAAGTTCACTCAACACCAGAAAAGGAATGCACTCACGAGCATAGTATAAAGATGCCCCTCCATGAAACACAAGAATCGGACTAGAAAGAAGCCTCTTCGGCAGTCTTTCGAGGCGACCGGGAGGCAAAGGGCCCTTTGCAACAAAGACCCAGTGGGACGAGATATCGATTATGTTCTGGAGGCCGACTTGCTTGTTTATCTGTGCACCTACGTATAAGCGAAAGAAATGTGTCTTTGGAGCTCCGAAAATTACCTTTGATGCACTTCCATCTGCGCCGACCAAAATATCACATGAGTCGGTAGTGCCGTCTGCAAAGTATACACGTACTTTTTCTTCGTCCTTCTGAGTCCGGTAGATGCTGTAATGCGTGAAATTGTGCCCAAACTTGATCCGTTTGTGATCTTTCAGAGGGTCGACCAAAAAGTCGCGCAAGACCACACGGTCGATGGCAGTCGAAGCACTGTAGGTCGGCAGCTTGCCTAGATCAAGAATAGGCTTGAAGGCGGTCGAGTAGATTGAGGGTGCAGTGTAGGGTGATTTAGTGTCTGCAGACATGCCAAATTTTTGCTCGATAGCGTCGACACGTGCCTGGTCCAGGCACAGTCGGAAGGCATCAAGGCTGTACTGGCCAAGTCGTATCTGATATCCTCCTCGATCAGATTTCTCCGGGTCTCTCTCGTAGACTGTCACATCAACACCATTTTTTATGAGACCGTTTGCAAGGCAAGCGCCTGCTAGTCCACCGCCAACGATGATTATCTTCAAAGACGACATCCGGAAGAACAGTGCGGGATCTCCAATGACCAACGCCGATGGGGAGTGCTTATAAAATCAGATATTATAGACGACATAGGCAGGTGGCAGTGGAATCAAGATAGGATTGTTCAGACTTCGTGCTCGTGGACTCTCGGAAAATGCTGCCGGACGTGATAGCTTTGGTGTTGGCATGGCGGCCTGTCGAATGGGATGATGTGACGATAGTCCGGATCATGATGCAGCACAAGCATCTGCAACAAACAGCAGGATCCTGATCCGCAACCGACGAGCTCCTATCCGACTCATAAAACCGGTTGCCGCCATAGCAAAAGCTTCGTTACTCCTCAGGCACTGATTGTTCTCCACTTCGATGAAGTGCCATCGTGCATCAGCAACGAGGCTCTAATAGTTTATACGAAACATGCTACTCTTTACTAAAGAGGCATACTGTGACTTTGCTCGGCGGTTATTTATATCGTACGGAACAAATCAAGCGACCAAGATACAATCTGCTTGCATGTCTCAATCAAGATGACGATATCCGGATCAAACCAGAAGCGTGCTGTGATTGGCTTCGGCTTTGCTGGATTTTGAACGGCTTAGGGCCTAGACTTGTGGCTTCTAGGGCGTGGGCCAGGATTTGCTTGGATCGGGGCATGCTGGCCTCCCCTCTGTGATGCGCCTTCGCGAAATGCCCAGCGTGGGGAGTGCGTATGGGGGATTCGCCGAATTCCTGGGCAGCTTGGCGATGATGCAGGGCCAGAGAGCCTATCAAGCTATTCCGGAAATAAATGACCGGTTTGTCAAACCATCCATTTAATACTTCAAAGTTGATTTCTGAAACGAATATTTGAGATAGCATGTTCATACTGGCATAGAATGATGCCGGAGGCTGCACGACTCTCCCAATCCAGTTTGATCCAGAAAATGCCCACTTTAAACGAACTACAGCGTATCGTTGCCTAAAAGTTCAAAAGTCGACAAAAGCGACATTTATTTCTGGAACAACCTGCCTATTTTGACCGCCTATCAACGTCATCTTAGGGTTAGAGCTTTGGCGTAGAGTTTCCAAAACAATCGACGCGTTCGTTCCATCTTTGCATCATGGGCTCTGGTGGCCTCTTGTATCTGTTCTTGGGCTGCAGCCAGCTAGGGCGATTTTAGCGCTGCCAGAGCAGGCATCCTGGTCGTTCTTTTCCACTTCAATATACAAGCGCATCCCGAGAACGGTGACCACACATCAGCCTATGAAGGGCGCGACACGAAGAACATGGCAGAAGTCGTTGGCAGTCAGCGTCGGACGCTCTGCTGAGCAGCCGACCAGGAGTCCGATTCGATAACTGCCAACGCTCAGCAATGCATACCTGTGAGCGACATTGAGATGTGACCGACTCTGCGGTGCTTTCCTGCGACTAGCCGAAGCTCTGTTCTCCTCTCCTGCACACCACTCGACTGCCCCTACGGCGCACGGTCTTATCCATCTGATCCACGACCGAAACTATCATCGCCCAGATACGCTGCATGCGTTGTCACTCCAGCTGCACATTCCGCTCCCTCTCGAGATCCCTTGTGCTGCTCGGCAGCAATCTCGCCATAAGAAGCGACGCAAGATCTCAGTACAACTCCACTAAGGCCACACGTACAAGCAGCGCGAGCAATGCTACCCTGATCTTTGTGATCGTAGTTGGCAATCAATAGGCGCGGAACAGAACAAGTAGGAACCACCCATGGATGACGGCCGTCTTGAATATTCAGCAAGCCCAGTGCGCCGCCAAGAAGACGACGCGGCTCGACACCACCAACGACCACTTCTTCACTGCCTCTCTGATATCGTCTTTGACCCATTCCCTCCTTCACTTCTCCATCTCTGCCTTCCGCTCTGGCTTCTCCCCTTCTACTGTTTTCTCTGCTTTGTATTTATCCTCCTTCCCCTTCTTCTTCGCCCAGACCCCCTTCACTTGCTCGACTGCTTCCTCGTTCCGCCACCTTGAATGCCCGACTCCAGGTTACCGGAGCAGGACGACTTCGCTGGCGACAAGGCCGCGCGGGCGACCGCCATCGACGAGGTCTTCCGCGCAAGACGACTTGACCGGCAGCAAAGACGCACTGCTGGACACCATCGACATGATCTGTGTTGCCGTGGTCCGCCCAACCAATTCAAAGAAGTACAAAGAGAATCGCACGAAGTGTGCACTTCCTGGGGAAGAAGCTGAAGACGCTGCGGACGATCCAGGAAATGGCATGGACAGAAGGCTTTCCGACGCGAAGTAGACCGGCCGACGACGAGTTATCCTCGGATGCGCCGCTCTCAGCGGGGCAGATCATCATGACATCGAGACCGGTGTCGAGCTTTCGGATTCGCTCTGGCAGAACTCGCTGGCCACCTTTGCAGCTTACAATTGCCGATTCCGCGAGCCTCGAGCCCTTCACGAAGCTGTATCGCGTAAGCGCGACGGCTGACCCGACTGTGAGTATACGGAGTTGATTAGAGAGCGCGCAGCGCAGTCCTTACGAGGAGATCTCGACTGATCTGGCCTACAGGATTTGGAAAGCCTCCGGCAAGCCGAACTCGGGGTCTAAGAGCGGCAAAGCAGGAGACGCTGCTCGACCTATCAATTTCGTCTCCCTCTTTTTCTTCTTCTTCTCCTCCTCCAGCACCGCCCGCACCAAGGGCGAGCTATCCGACACCATCGACGCGTCTCACCCCTCGTCGTCCTCTGCTACCAACACGGCGTTCTCCCTCTTATCCTTCTGCTCCATCGCGTCCGCCAGCACCAAGAGCGCGCTGCCATGGACCGTCGATGCATTCTTCAGCCGCGTCGGCTGCCTAGACAGTACCGAGAACTCGTACCAGCCCGAAGCCGCAGTCACCACCAGAGGCTGGCGAAGGGCCGCAGAACGCCTATTGCGATGCAATCCGTCGCTCTATCACCCAAGGCGACTTCATCGGCACAAAAAACACGCTGCTGAATGCCATCGACGCGTTCTTGTTCTCCTCTACCTTATCTTCCATCTCCACTTCCGCCATCCATCGAAATGCACTGCTCCGGACGATCGACACGTGCTTGTTCTTCTCCTCTTCCACTTCCTACCGTCCCGCCCCGCCTCCGCCGGTAATAAGAACTCCCTGAGCGCCCATTACGACGCGCTCCGCGTTGCGATCACCAATGACGACTTCATGGGCAGGCGGGGTGCCCTCCTGGATGCCATTGGGGCGCACTTCGCTGGGAATTGGTCTAGAAATCCACCAGAGCTTGAGATCAAGGCCAACGGCTGGCGGGAAGCCGTCAAGAACGCGGGTCTGGCTCGTCTGCTCCTACTCGATGACATTGTGGAGGACTCTGGCGTGTTCCGTGTTGGTGTTTTCACCGGCTTTGACGATGACGACAACAACAACGACCAGACGACAACGATGACTCCACCGAAGAAAAAGAAGAAGACGAAGCAATGCTTGGGCTCGATGATGACGACAACAACAACGCCGACGACCCCTTCGAGGTGTTCGAGGAAGAAGAAGACGAGGCATTGCTGGGCCTCGGTTATGACGACAACAACAACGTCAACGACGACGACCCCTTCGAGGTGCTCGAGGAGGAAGAAGACGAAGCATTACCGGGCCTCGGTGATGACGACATCAACAACGCCAACGACGACCCCTTCGAGGTCTTCGAGAAAGAAGAAGACGAAGCATTGCCGGCCTCGGCGACGACGACATCAACAACGCCAACGACAACGACCCCTTCGAGGTGTTGAGGAAGAAGACGAAGCATTGCCGAGCCTCGGTGACGACATGGAGCTGGAGCAAGAGGAAGGGGAAGTCGAGGAAGAAGAAGCCGAAGCATTGCCGGGCCTCGGTGACGACATAGAGCTGGAGCAAGAGGAAGAGGAAGTCGAGGAGGACGAGGCCGACAGATCTTGGCAGATCGAGCAAATCACCGATTGCCGTGCTCGTCGCGTCCGGGCGGGCTCTGTGTGGGAGTACCAGGTACGGTGGGAGGACACCCTGGAGAACGGTGTGTGGAAGATGTGGGACGAGACCTGGGAGCCGGCCGCCAATTTGCTGGGACCTGCCGCGGATGTAGTCGAGCAGTACCACAACGCCAACCCGGCGGGCCCTGGCCCAGCGTTGTCGGAGGGTGAGAAGGCGATCGAGGTCTCGAGGAGCAGCAGCAGCAGGGAGACTTGATAGAGTTGGCACACACGTACGTGGCTTGACTAACGACGGCATAGACGTACCGGCGTGATGAGCGTCTGTTGAACCATCAATGAAAGATGAACTGATGAAGAGGAGCAGAAGCATCGTTGGCAGACCTCATAGCAATTGCACACGCGAACGCCTCAGAGCGGCGTAATGTACCAGAAGCGATTTGTGCTCGATTGCGTGGGCTCGCAGGACTGAGGCAGTGCACTGTGCCGTTGGCGGCGAGCGACCGCAACTTTTAAGGCAGTGGACTGCGGCGATCCTGCATATGGTAACGCCGTGATCGGCTTGGTGAAAAGGGGCTGTGCCAGCGGTCGAAGCGGGTGCACGTTGCGCGTCGACTTGTTCGCGGCTCAAGGACCATCGAGATGCTAATGTCTGGACGGGGAGAAGCTGTCGAGTGGCTGGACGGCTCGGAGGAACCTTGTCTTGGGGCGTGGGCTGGAAAGATCGCAATTTGTTCGACACTACCGGAGCGGTTCATCTCTCTGCATGAATCTGGTGCGGCCATATTCCTCAAAGCACTGCTGCTGTCGAGACCTGCTTCGACACGAGCAGAGACATTCACGAGACCACGGACTCAACGGTACGTTGTGGCAATTCGCTGTGGTCGTTCACAGTACATGTAGGGGTGGCTGATCTTACACGCAACGTCTGTGAGCGCTCGGCAAAAGCGACGCAAGCTGGCAATGAAATCTCCGAAACGCTAATGTTGCGCAGGTCGCACGAAGCGAAGAGACGATGCAAGCAGGAAGTGGCGAGCGCCGTTCAAGAAAGGTGGCTGCGAGCTTAGAGAATGTATGAGTCGATGCAAACTTCAACAACGGCTCGGAATGCAGCCTCCTGCTGCGATCTGCATCGATCAGACTATTGATCGAAGATGCAGCAATGCGGCGGAAGCAGAAGTCGGAAGCCGTGAAGCCGTCAAGTCGACGAAGTGGTCCAATCGGGCAACAGCTGTGAGGCTTGACGCTTGGCTGTTGATCCGGCGATTCACAGCATCCTCACACTATGGATTGCGAACTGCGAAGACTCCGGCGCTGAATAATGCGGATGGAACGGAGGCGATGAATGCGATGGAGAAATTGTGCTTCAGGCTGCACATCGAGCGAACGGCGAAGTTTGTCGTCAACATGACAGCAATGTGAGGAGTCGTCCGAGTTGTGCAGTCGGTGCTCGCGGTGGACTCTGTGCTGCGGGCCGAATGTCGCTCTAAATAGCGACAACTGCGCAAGGGCGTGAGATAGCGGTAGAAGCCGGAGTGGGTGCAAAAGCGTGGCCTGCGGCGACTACAGCTCATCAATCATCAGCAGCTAAGGTGCGCACCCCGCGCGAGTGCTGAAATGCGGCTAGCAGAATACACCTTTGGGAAACCATTCAGATCTTGTGTTTCTCAAGTAAGAAATCTGGGCGGCGGCGAGCTTTGGGAGACTGTTGAGGGATAGGAACATATTCGGAGGCCCAAGACGCCGCGAGATGAAAAGCTGCACGAGCGAAGTTGTTGAACAGCGCGGGCTGGAAGCTTGTCCCGTCAGAATACAATGCAAACAGCGAGACTGAAGTGCACGTCGGGGACGTCGCGCCAGGCTACCGAAGATGAGGAAGACAGATAATTTCTCCAACGGCGCGCGCCAGTATTCGGTATTGATTGCCTCAGTGTTCGAGCAGCCGGTTTTGCAGATTCGGAGGAGGAAATGCAAAACCTTGCGGTCAAGGTGAGCGCGGTGGAGCACTCTCTTGAACATGAGAGGGAGGAAGCTGACTATGGCATCGTAGGCAACTTCGAACAGAGCACACTGGCCGAATAATGGCGTCTGCGCCGCGGGAAACTGTTCGGAATTTATTTGCGGACCCTGACATGCGTGCTTCCCCGCACGAACCTCTCTTTCGAAGTCTACCTCTTCGAGATCACCTCGCACATTCCTTGTGTGTACAATCAATTTTCGCCCTGTGCCTTCCGCAGTCACTTCAAACGCTCTCTCTCCTTCCGCCAGCGAGTCCGCAGACTCTTTCGCGAATTAACGCTGTCAGTAGACATGTTCAACCCACGGCCTGATCATGGTGCAGCTAGCTCGAAAGCAGTCACACTGTGGCTTGCTTCAGAGTCACACTTCAGATGTCAGAGCAGATCGGCTCGCACATACAGCTGTACACATTGACAAGGCTGCTGGTGACAACGCAGCAGCGAAGCCAGTAACAGCCACACGTACAGTCTCATCTGAGTGCGAAGTGCCTGAGTAGACCATTCTTCAACTACTGGGCTTGCACCTATCACAAATAATTACATGCCGCTGACACTGAGAACATGACGGGAGATGGGCGATCTTCCTGGTGACCCGACCACCAACTGCGTAGAAGAATCCTCTCTCATCGGGTGAGACACACGCTTGAGGCACGCACTATTTCATCCAAAGACAGCACACGCCAGATCCAGCTTGTTTCGGCACCGGCATGTCCGCTCTTCGTTCTGGACACATCGGCCTCGTTGTACACAGCTCTCGTCGTATGCTTACCACACCTCTCGATGGCTTTCCCACAGCGGTACTGCTCTCCTCCCGCGATGTTCATGACCGCAACTGTGTTCAGTCACGTCGGCACGGCTAGAAAGACGAGGATAAGAGGTGCAGAATCGAAAGCGCGAGCGATCTAGATCTTCGCGCGGCGCCTGCACCACACGACCGACACCAATCAAATTCGTCGCCTCGCCATCACTGGCCCTTTCGACGACTTCCGAATCCGACTCTGCTCGACTAGTCGCGCCATAAGTACCGGAATACCCTCGCTGACCACTGCCACAGGTTTGAGCTCCATCGAAACCAGCGCCTCGTCAAAACTTGCACGTCCTCGCTGGTGATCGCCACAACGTTGCGCGTCAGACTGTGGAAAAGAACTGCTGCTTGAGCGCCGAAAAATTAGCTGCCGTATCGGTGTTGTGACTCGGGCGAAGATGAAGGCGCTTGGCTGGAGCGTGCACAACGCCGAATAGTGCGGAATGGGTCGAGGGTATTCGTGTTTGATTGCGTCTTGTGAACAGAGATCGACGGCCTCGCTCATTGAACTCGGAACTCCAAAGCAGCAAGGATCGAGCAGGAGGACAGGGTTTCCCTACACGCCAGTAATTATTCGATCCACCCATCGACAACAGAATCGCAAAGCAGGCGCAGTTTCCTCTCGCACCTCGTGTCTGTGCCAATCGTTGCAACGAACGTAGGCGCCCCATCCACTACCGCCGCTATGTGGACAAGGCGTTAACCATCTACCGGTGAATTGGACGTATTTCGGAGGTTCGACTTCTGCTTGGACGATTTGCTGCCGGATGGTTGCACGGCAGATGGAGGGCTGCGGGACTTTGGTGGAGGTTCTAGAGGTCTTGTCGCTTGCGCTGGTATAAAGAACGAGGCTGTGTGAGAGCCATATCTGGAGGAGAGTCTGTGATGGCTTTGATTAGTACGAAGGGCTGTGAGGGTCGAGGTCGAGGGGCTGACGCACGAACTCCCGTACCTCCTCCCACTCTCCCTTCATTCAGCTAACTTCAAATGCGACATCGACCACAACGACGGAACTTCCCGACCATCCCAGCCCGAATACTGCTCTTTGCGAGGGCAATGAGCGAAGACTGACAATGAGCGAAGACCGACCCGGAACTTTGTCAACGCTGCAGAGATGCCATTGCAAAGCTTTGATCCTGCGGAAGCACAAGCGTGTTGGGCAAGCAGAGGCGATGCACTATTGACGAGCGTGCTGATCGGTCTCATACTTCTCTGGTGACAGTAGAGGTGGAGGCACGTGGATCATTCGCTCGGCGTCTTGGTCAGGACAACTTCGTCGGCAGCCTTTATGACGCGCTTCTGCAGGCGTCTGCATTCCGTTGTGGTTGGTGAGGCAAGCCTTCGCTGCGAGCCATGCCCTTCTCTTCCATAGGCATCTGCCGGTCGGCCAGTCGACGATTGCTCTACCCAGTGACGATCGACGACAGGTGCAGATGGACGTGTTGTTGGCTGTGCTGGCTCTGAATGGCGCGGACCGAGGTCGCTGACGCGGCGATAATGTCTGATGCAGGCGCTGGCTGTTGGTATTCGACACGATTCGTATTCGAAGACGAATCAGTCTCCATTCCGACGGGGCCGATCATCAGGGTCGGCTCCATGGCTCCATTTGCTCGGGCTCGCGCTTGCCTTCCTCTCTTATCCTGTTGTCCATGCTTACCGTCATCGTCCGCCGAATTCACTTTGTATCAATCCCCAGCGCGACTGGATCGACAAACTCTGGGTTCCATGAAGTCCGAGATTCGCACCCTCGTTGTGATCTGCCCAGCTCGCCACAGCTTCTGAGCTTTCTCCATCTCGCCATCGCCTTCGTCTCCTCGCCTGGTCGGCGCCCACCATCCTTGCCGATCGTCGCCGCGACACCTGTTACAGTCCGCTTTCCCACACACGGTGGTTCACCCCATGGAGAATCTGTAACCCGACATCCCGAGGTCAAATTTCGAAGCCACACCCTCCCGCTTCCATTCGTTTCCTGTCGCAATCGTCAGTTCTGTCTCCGGCCCATACTTCACTGATTGTCGCTGACATGGGCCATGCTGGTGACTTACCGCAGGCAGCTTGTCGTTCCCCTCCCGTGTGTCCATGAGCAGATTCCCCAAGCCGTTGAATATAGCCTCCTGGCCGTAGCATATCTGCATATCCTGATCCTCTCTGACAAGCCCAACCCGAGGACCATCCCCGGGCACACCAAGTAGCACCTAGCGATCGCGCTAGATTCCTCTTACTCAGCCTCCTCCTTCTTATTGTCGTAGCTGAAAACTGCTCTGTCTGCTCTCGACCTCTCACATCTCATATTCGGCATCGCCACTTGGGTCCGCCGCCACTTCATCGTCCTCATCCCACTCAGTCCGTCCATCTTCCTCCCAGGCGTAGCATCGTCGCCGAAACCGAATATGCTGTCATCTGCCTTCCGCGCTCGTCGTCTTCCACTTAGCCGCGAAGAGCAGACGCTGCTTCTGCGTCCCTTGGCTCTTGGACTTTCTCAACATCACTCTCCTCTCACACTGTCGAATCGAGACTCGCAATGTTCCAAGCTCGTGGACGTCGCACACGTTAGCGCCGTACTGGACATGGCGTCAACAAAACTGCCAGCTGACACTGCAGCTTCCCGACATTACCTCAGTTCAACGCGCCGGAGCTCCGGAGCTTGAGCTGTCTGTATTCGAGAGGCTCGCCGACTTGACATCATCAACGGCGCCAGCCATTCTGTGGGAGTTCTCAAGTAGATCTATATGCCACAAGCAGGTGCCAGGCGTGGCGGCCTGCTTGAACACACGATCCCAACGCATCCAGTCCTTGAGAGCAGTGCATAGTGATGGAGCACTTCTTCCAGGAGTTTATGTTGCAGCTTCTTTCCCATGAAGTACGGATGTCAAAGATTGGGGCTTGTGTGAGGTTGTGCAATGCCTACCGTCAGCAGGCCCCCAGATTGCGGACGAGCAGGGCATGCATGACCGGTTGCTTTCGTGAGAGGCTTGGACTCGCGGTGGGTGAGCTCGAAGGCATCTAAACTGTGGTAACGTATACTATTGGTCTTGAGGAGCATGAGTGCTTCTGCGCATCGGTCTCGGCCCGGTTGGTACCGACAGCGCAAGCGCTTTGGACTCAGCACCTTGTAGACGGTTCCGCTATCATGCCTGGCGCATTGCCGACCACAGCATCGTCAACGGGTGTGGTCAAGCAGCAGTGCTCTCAGCAACTTCATGCTTCGCGACTCGCATCTTCCTGCATTACTCTGCGGAGTCTTCTTGACTCTTCAAGTCTCGCATTCCTACACGCTTCAATACCGCGCGTCTGCTTGTTGACTTTTGCCTCTTCAGATACTTGGTGGCCTGCTCCCGGTCCTCAAGCCTCGCCGTTCGCGCTCTTTGTAGTTCTCCCTCTTGCGCTAGGGTGGCTTGTGAAGGTGAACTAGACATCGTATCGGTCACGCCGTAGGACGGAAGTGTAGTCGAGCGCCGCGGCAAGGGACACTTTTGAGGCTCATGTCGTCGCAGCAGCGGTTTGCGAAGTCGCAAGTGACTGCAAACACCAGAGAAATGACATCGAGTTGCTGGACCGAGATCTCGAGATCTGGCCACGCGACGCAGGGGCTGTGATAATGAGCGCGGTGAACGATCAAGGAGAGGTATTTCAACGTGGGACGGTTTCGCGGCCACAAGAGTGTCGCGAGTCGAGCGTGTTTCTTGAGGAGGGAAGGGCAATGCCCGCAAGGAATTTTGGGGACGCCAGCGGGCCAAGGATTTCCTCTCCCAACCTCAACTTTTTGGGGGCGACTTCGGGGTGCGGGGCAGCCTGGGCGGGTCGGGTCGCTTACCAGACTCTAACTTTCCAAGCATTTCCGCCCGCGTGCGATCGTCATCCAAATTCTAGCAACCGCAGTCCGTCGATAAGTCAGTTGCTCTGACAGGTATTCTACACACTTCTACAATCACGTATATTTTCCTTCTCGAAATCTGTCCTTGGATAGAAGCAAACGCGAGAGGAAGCGTGCAGTTGTACTGCAACATTTATATTCGAAGATGCTCGTGCAAACGATGTGCCAGCGGTAGCTTGCGTGATGTTTCTCCCACAACAGATCATATAAGCTCATCTGACTACGTACTCGAGCGCATGTACTTGTGCGCAGCTCCATGTCCATCACCTTCGGCGCACGTATTCGCAGATACGGACGGCAAGTGCCCGGATCGCCAAGTCTTTCCCGAATGGCGGGAGTAGCATTTACCACGCCAAACACTGTAGCTCAGCACTATCACAACCCGTCGTGCTCTGCCGGGCCAAGCACTCACGACGAATGTTTCGCCTCGTTCGACGCCTGGGGTAGCGTTTGCCGGTTTGAACAGCGCACATAGCTTCAGCACTCTGCGTGGCCACTAATCCCTGTGCGGAACGTTATGTACTTCAATGCTTGATGTGCAAAAGTCCAGAATTAGGAAGAGATCGGCAGGACTTCACATCGAGCTTTCGTCGACATCTTGGTCACCGTTAGAAACAGGGGGCATCGTCCGAAGCCGTCCATGTGCTCTAAAGACCGAGTCAACGTCAAGCCTCCGACAGAAGCCTTTGTAACAGGAGGAATGAGAGACTAAACGGCAGGACCATCAATCATGTCACCCACACGAGTTGGACCACTGCGCCAGGGTCGACGCGCTACTTGCCAACGGTGATCGAGCCGTGAATTGTGACTACTCGCCGACTCAAGAAGAGATAGAACTCCCATAGACGAGTCTGCGGAACAGTTTGGAACCGAGCTACTTGAGAAGCCCGCGCTGAGTGTGCGATAATGCGCTCCGTTTCGGCAGCCATGCTTAGCACTCTGCGCGCGACCTGCGCCACGCTGTCGTACGCAGACTGGTAGAGCGCTTTCTCCGTCACGCGACAATCTCCACGAGCACTCAAGGGCGAATACAACACCAGCCCGGCAGTCCCGAGCCGTCACCACCACGACGCGCCTTATCGCTATCTTCCCCTTCCCTCTCCGCGCATTCACTTTCTGCGCCTCCAGCACAGCATACTCTCGTCCCATTTCCCTCTTCCTGACCAGGCCAACATCGAACACTGTCCCGCCGCCCCATCTCACCTCACGCAACCATCGCCACAACGTCCGTGCATAGCTCCGGCGGCGGGACGGACAAGCTATACGTCCTCGATCCGTGCAGCGCTCGGCAGACGTGTGGCTGTGATGGCCTGGAATACATCCTGATCGCTGAACCAGGTTTGGTTGTGACCCTCGGTATACTTCGTGGTGACTGCTCGGCAAGGTGCACTGACTCATTCTGCTGCACGGCATGCCGCGCTCAGCTTTGTTCATATAGGCTGTCGTCAGCGCCTGCTTATCGCCTCGCATTCAGCGCCGTACGCGTTCCCGAAGTCGTTCTGGCCGATCCGCTCCTCGCACCCCGAGCATCTGGAACCAGCGTGCAGTAGGCCCGAGGCTGCGACGGACTGAGCTTGCAATGCTTTTGTGCGTCCATGTCCAAGCCGAAGTCTCTTGATTATCGTGTGTATCGGCTCTTTCTCGTGTTTCGTGGAACTCGTCGATGATCGGCGAAGGTGGGCAGAGTATGGCTCATGCTGGACGTAGAGCGGCGTTCGATGGACGTGGAGAATAAGGCCGCGTTGTGTGAGTCAGCTGCTGCTGCGATCCATGCGGTTTTCATAAAGCGGCGATGCTGCAGCGGTACCGGAGTGTCTGGTGGCGGCTTCGGCGGCGGCTTTGATGAACGTGTTGTGCTTGGGAATGGGCGTGGAGACGTTTTTCCATCTCGGCTGGGACGTCGTCTGCTGATTTCGAGAACCTTCCCGGGCGAAGTGCGGAAGCGGGAACATCGAACGTTCGTTTGAGGACTTCGGCGGCGGTAGCTGGGTGTGCTGAAGCTTCGGACTATTGACAGTCGCCGGCAGTCTGACGAGATGGTTGTAGTGCGAAAATCATCTTGGTAGGACGCCGTAGATGTAGTCTGAGCACAGTTAGCACGTTTCGTACGCGTTTCTCCACGAGAAGGGAAGTGAGACCATGAAGAACTTTGAGTTCGATGCGAAGGCCGCTCTGCGCATTCAATCACCCGACGACCGAGGGCGGTGAGGAAGATATGAACACTGTGGGCAGGAAGGCAAAGCCACAATTAGGCATCTTTCCGTGCGCAGAGCAAGCGGTGTGAGAGAAGTTGGCGGCAGCTCCAGCAGCTCCACAACCGTGGTCGCTGCGACGCGAGGACAAGACTCAGCGAGACCCTGTTAGAGCATGACGACGGATTGAGAGCTCCGACGATGGCCTCAGCCTGACTGAATCATCCACACCCGGCTCCCCGTCCTGGTTCTTATACACGACTGCCGTCATTGCTCAATCGCTGTGCTCGACCAGCCCGGTCCCGATACTCTGTCTTCAGAACCTTTTGTGCTCGCGGTGGGTGCGGGTATCGCGAGGAGATCGACGGGCTGGAACTTGACAAAAGTCTGCGTCCAATAGAGATCGCTACGGGGTCCAGGGAGGGCTGAGATAAGAAGAGGGGAGTACTGGGAGTAGGGCTGGTCCTTTATGTACTGCTTGCGCTGCACTGCAACATCTGAAGGCGACAGTGTGCCCTCACATGCCGCAGACTTCGCAGGAATTTCTCCAATTCTGGCAGTTCGATTTGAGGAAGACGCGACGCGACGCATTGACGCGTTTCGACCTCGGCTCCTAACTTTGCTCGCTACGCTACGCAACCTGATCTGCGCCAACAATGGAATCGCTACAACTGCGTTACTGTTGAAGTCGCACAATGGTACTGGCGCCATCCACCAACTTCTACTCAAGACATGCGAGAGCCCCCTTTCCTGCCAGAACCATTGCCCGAAACATTTGTCAATACCCGATTCTGCCCGAAATTCGTCTTTCACGCGTCGGCCATGTCTGCGATCCCAATATTGGACCACATCTTCGGCATAGACAACGCCTCCAGCGCGTCGGCAAAGTCCTGTCTCCGAAGAAGCCCAAGTCTTCATTTGTCCTCACATCTCGAAGCTCGAACCCATCTCCGCTATTATCAGAACCAAAGGCATAGTCGGCGCCCTCTCAGCCACCTGCGAATGCTCGACTTCGTCAAGACGAACGACATCGACCAGATCCTTCCCGCCGTCGACGCACGTTCGATTCCGTCAAGGTTGAAGGCACAGCCGACGCCTCTTCGCCACCAATAAATGCCCGATCGAAGATACGGCTGACGCCCGGGCACGCCCTGATATCGGGCGCTACCCAACATTGTCAAGATTCAAGATACGGCCGGTGGCGGCTGCTAGCATGCTAGTCAGGGTGCTCAGAGGTGGTGCTCGGGCCAGGCTCTGCTAGGGAGGATCTGTGGACATGTTCGCGTTCGAGGGAAGGCTTGAACACTTCCAGCTATACCGGACCTCGTCAAGAGCGAACGTATCGCTGATGTACTCGACCTGGTCATCCTTAGCTCGTCCTCGAAGACTGTTCGACCGCATCTTAAGTCGGAGACACTATCGCGTTCCTTCCGCCAACTGCAGTCCTCCGAGAACCGCACAGCCTACGATCGCGCGCCTGACAAGAGATATATCGTGCAGCGGTCCACGCGCTACGAATACTGTCGTAAGAGTCAGGAGCCTGTTTGGTGAACGGAGCTAGATACACTTGGTTCAGAAGTTGGAAGCAAGAGTAGAATGGTCCAAATATGCCGAAGCTCAAAGCTCGGTCTTTCAGAACAGACTCGAAACGCCAACGAGCGGTTTAATTGACAGGTCAGTATGGTCGGACGATTTGGTCAGGCTACTACTTACAGCTTTGCTTCAGGAGTCTCATACAAGCGCCATGGATCACGAGCATCTGATCTAAGTATTTGTCGTCTCCGAGACCAGCCGCAATTGCTAATGCACCTCATCAACGGCGACGAGACGGCCCGCCGAGCACCCATCGTCTTCACCCTCACCGAACCGTCCTCCTTCGACCTCATTCGCGCCCGGCATCTTCTTCGCATGCTACCCCATCTCCGGCGTTCCGCTCGCCCACGAGATTAACGACGTCGACACCTACGACGCGGGCAAGAGCTCGGGCACAGACAAGACTACGATGCAGACGAGAGCCCCGGCGCAGACGAGATCTGCGACACGAACGAGACCATTGGCACAATCAAGACCTACAACGTAGAGGCAAGAGGATTTGGCGCAGGGGAGTCATACGACGGTCACAAGAGCCGTAATACCAGCAACTTCGGCAACGCCCATAAGACAGCACAATTGTCAACCGAGGCACCTCCGAAGTCCCGAGGCCGAGCAGCGGGCCTGATGGAGAACCGCGCTGGCAACGAAGAAGATGGGCAAACGAAGGGTTCAGCACAGCGGCTCGCCATATCTATCGAGAATCAGGACTTCGATACCGCCGCGATACTCATGCCGTAGAGCAAGATCAGCCTGAAGCGGAAGAGGAGGAGGAGAGGATTGTGGGCGCACGCCGTTGATCAAAGAACGCAAACGTCAGCTTGACACCGTTGCGGCATGCACGCCCGAGGAAAGAATGAACAAGAAGCAGAAGCGGAAGAGTGGGAAGCGCGTCCGCCGTGGTCTGGCCAGTCGATGGCAATGGTAGCTCGACGCCGATGCGGCGCCATCGAGGAAGATCATTCAGAGGCAGATTGCTATCTGGCGGCTTCAGAGCCCGGCACAAGTCACGTCTGCGCGAGCGGCGGGCTCGACGCGGTCTTACCTGCTACATGCTCGGTCGGTGTGTTCAGAGTTGGTGCTAGGATCAGCCATGCTAGGAGGGATCTGGGAATGTGATTTTGTTGGCTTGTGGTTTGTCCGGAGGGTTACGAAGACACCGAGCTGCAAGACGGAAGAGACCGTGAGTGTACCGGGGCGGACAGAGCCAACGGGAGTCACCCCGTCGCGGCACTCGAGCCTCAGGAAAGAACGAAACAGAACCGAAAGCAGGATGAGCAGGGTGTGTCGTTCCGGATCGAACAGTGTCAACCGAGCGCGGACAGTACTGATGCAGCAAAGCTCGGTCCATCTCTATCTTCGACTACAGAGGTACTGCTACCGCAACAGTCGCAATAGCTATCTCGGCAGCTGTTGAGGACGGGATCCAAACGTGCACTCTACAAGCAGGGCAGGGAGCAGGCAAGGTATGCAGAGGCAGCCCAAAGGGCCTCGCTATCAAGGCAAGTTCCTCACGAGCGAGAGCTGTTGTCTGCATATCATCGTCGTCTATAGCAACACAATGCCGCAAACGCTTTTCAATATTCACACGCATGCCATCTTCAGGGCCACTCAGCTGCCAGTACAACATCTCACCGCGAAGCCATTACGCCGTTCCCCACCACCGCAGCTACGAGTACAGCTACAACCGAGACCAGCGCCGAAGAGTCATCGTCCTCAACCAGAACTCTCAGCACCGTCTCCGGCAATTCTGCTGCCGCCAGCCCAGTAACGCGGTTCTACTTCGCTCTCACAACCAAACGCCTCCTCGCAATTGAGCTGCGCAAAGCGCGACAACGGAGTCAAGAATTCACCTCGCCTTTCACATGATGGGACTGATGGCGCTCAAGCTGATATAGTCTGCTGCTGCCTGACGGTCAATCAAGCGCCCAACTCTGAAGGCGCTTTGACTGACGGACTCCTTCTGCATCTCTGGTCCGACCAGTGCGGAAGGCGATAGAGGCGCGGTCGTCAGCCGTATCGGAGGACTCCGTACGGACTTCACAAGGACAAGCTCGTTGGCGGAGGTGTTTCCAACCCTTCTCAGTCACGCAATCAGCTACCACGTCACACAAGCAGAATCACGCCTGATTGACACCGCCGTCTCCTTCGGCGTCAAGCGCTCCAAAGCCTTCGAGTACAGCTTCGACAAACTGCATCCTGCCGCTCAACGTAAAACCCGGCCTCTTCGCCCTTAGCGGCCGCGACCAACGCTCCGTTCACTCGATAACCCAATCCAATCACCCTACATTGCTATTCTTCACTGGGACATCGATGGCCTTTGTCGACATCAAGCCCACGCCGCCAAGTACCGCGTCAATGGCACCCGCAAACTACCTCTTCGAGTCTTGCCTCCGCAGTCGAAGGCAGTTCCTCTTTGCAACCACGCCGGTTATCGCAGACCACATCGTCCATGTGCGCATTCGCATCGAGTTTGCCCGCTGTTCTGTCTCCCGAGAAGGAACAGCGACAGGAAGTCATCGTACGAACGCGTCTTTCGCGGTCTTCTACCCAAATGGCTGATGCAATTGCGATTTTAAGCCATGTACGCCCGCTAAATACAAGACCTGAGCGCCAACTCCACAGGCCACGACTCCCTCCTCAACCTTGTCGCCGGTCTCAACGCCGAATGCAACTGCGCAGCCGCCGTACACCACCGCAGTTTCCCAGTCAACACCAACTCCGCAACCAGTACCGCCGATCGCCATTAAACGCAGTGCAGAGGAAACGCCGGCAGCAGACAGGATCGAAGCGCTTCAGAAGACCGAGCGAGCGCAAGCTGAGGCTGACAAGGGCGAGTTGCGGAGCCTTGCGGGTGCTTCGGAGCCTCACGAGCCTAAGCGTTGTTTGTTCGCGTTCAAGATCGGTCTTTCGAGGGACGTCTGGTCGTTTTGTGGTTAGGTTGAGTTGGAGATTGGCCCAGGCTGGACTGGAAGAAGCGAAGACGTCCTCGAGGGAGGATGAATTGTTTCGTGGGTGGGTCAAGGCGTCGTGGGTGAATGGGAGGGTTAGGGTTAGGGGTGGCCGAGTTGGGAATGGTGCGGGCGCTGGGGCACGTGCTGGGAAGAGACAGGATGCTACGAAGGACAAAGAAAGGCCAGATCTCGCAGACATGGTTGGTCAAGAGCCCCAGCTGCATTGTGGTTACTGGAAGTCGTGAAGAAGGTGGCGCTCTCGGCTCACAAGGTCGCCTCTTCACCACGACCTTCCCAACCGCAGACCGTTTCTCATGCGACCCCCGAACGACTCATTTCCAAGCCGCACTCCACATGCATCGACTCGCGACCCGCAACCAGTATATCAGCATCCATATCGAAGCACGCCGCTAAACTTCCGACTTCCGATTCACGCTCACGCACAAAGTCTATTCGAATCCCGTCCTTCCCACTTCTTCACTGCGAGTCCGATCTCCACGGTTGAATTTGCTCGGCGGAGGGCGCGATCCAGACTGCTTGCCGCTTGTAACCTCCTTCGGATGATTCTGAGTACTGCCATTTCTGCGATCGAAGCAGACATTTTGCTCCACAACAAGTCAGACCTGGTACACGGCAGCGATTTGAACACCACAACCAACACCGCCTAAGCAAACTCTACCGCCACACGCAGTCCGCCGACGACCACCGCACGACCTCACCCAATAGAACGCCACCAGACGTTTCGGTAGCGACGACGACGGGTTCTTGGACGTACGCTTTTGATGGTGCGACGAATCGTCCGTTGCCTCACGCTCGACTCTCTGCGAAGGCGGCTGGGTATGCGCACTCGCCCATCTTGGAATTTGCGACAACAAGGCAATCCAAGAGCGCTGGTCACCAGCAATCACCGGTCAGAGCAGCGACAGTTCGGTGGTGTATCTCCAGTAAACAGCAAGAGCTCAGTCAATCTCGAGAGACAACAACGACACCCGTCGCCAAATTCCTACGAGAAACGCAAAAGGCTTCGACAAACGTGCGTGCCGTTCTCGGTCGACGTCGAGACTTCTTGGGTGAGATGCTTCTTGTCTTGCGCGACACGAGTTTCGACCAACAGGTTGTGGGCGCCACTTGCATCAGTAAAGCGAGGGCAGGCGAAGTTCTATGATATTGGAGCTGCAAATCGAAGCCCCCGGAGCCATTGCGCTGGAGGCATGCTATCGTTCGCCGAGTGCTCGTGGCCGAGAGCGTACCAAAATGTGCGCCAAGGCACTCACTCCATCGAAGTCGATCGAGCACAAAGTCGAGGACGCCATGATCAGATGGCCCGCATGACTCTGCACGGCTGGCTTGACTGACGTGGGCGAACGCTGAGCCTTCGGGCAGGGGAAGGAGTGGTCAGTTGAAGGAAGGGTTTGAAATTGAAGGCTGAACAAGGCGAAGAAGTGATGGCGGTCAACGTTGAGCGATTAAGCTGGATCCAGAGCGTGCTGACGTTCTCTGAGAGTGCTGGGTGCGCCGCAGCGATCGGTGCGCCATGTGCCTTTTTGCTCCATCAGGCCTAGGTGTTGAGAAGGACTTGCCGTAGAAAGAATTCTATAGTACATAGTTTTTGCGTTCAAAGAATCACAAGACGTAGGCTTCTCGCGTATCCTCCTCCGAACAAATTCGCGTTCTGTGGGCAGCCGAGGCGCTCGGTGACCTTTGATCTTCATGGACACCCGCAGCTTGGTGGCGAGCTCAGAGCCAAGCAGGCATCGAGCCTCCAGCTTGAGCGCGGCCATGATGGCCGGTAGCCCTGGACGGATGACTCGCATCCGGAGTCGACGCAGCCGCGCAGTCGGGGCCCGCGAAGAGCAGAACGGAGCGAAGAACAGCGAGACGTGGATGTCATCCTGGCTGAGCGCAGAAGCAGCTATCTAGAGAAGCGTGGCGACTCCGCAGATAGCGCTCGTTTCGGTCCAGACAGCGGCACTCATCAGACAACGGCGTTGATAACGGTCATACGACTCTGCGCAGGATCTGCTGCCGTTTCTTGAATTGTTCTGCCGTCCTGAGAAGTAAGCCTTCGCCTGACCGTCCACAAGCACGACCTCGCGTGATTCAGCCGGCATCGGTGCAGCTGCTGACGCTGTAGACAACAGGAAAGCTGCGCCGCGCCTTTGAAGATTGGAGTGCGTTGGTGAAATTCAGTTCGCCATGGACGACTTTATCAAGGCATCGCTTCAATTGGGTGTCTGAGCTTGTCGTTGCATGCGACGCCGCATCTTTCATGGAGCAGCAGGCGAACCTGGGGGCTGTAATGAGAGGGCCGCGCGATGATTGTGTTTATCTGCTTCCTCGGACTGAAGGTACAGCGATGCTTTCGTGTTGCTCAAGAGGTTGTTGCAAGTTCTTTGTCTTTGTGTGGAACACACGAGAATCAACTGCAGCTTGTGTCTGGCGACGCGCGGGGGAATATATTTGCGTTGTGCAATGACTTCAGGCCGCAGCACACCATTCACACCTTCGGTCTCGAGCATCATATGTCAGTCGCTGCACAATTCCCCTCTTGACGCAGCAATTACGAGTTGTGCGATTCCATTCAAGTCCAGCGACCGTAGCTTGCGTGATTGTAGAAGGTGTTGCCATGCAGCACTCTGCATCCAAGCCCGCAATTCACCCGGCCACACTCGAGCGACGCGCTCCCCGCATCCGCGTCTAATCCACGCGTGCAGCACTCCGCTTCCAGCTCACAATGTCGTGTGATTTGCCGGTCTCAGATTCCTGCAAGGTGATTGCAGACGCAGACTCGAAAGCTGAGCAGTTGCAGAGCTTTCACGTCTCGTTGGTTTGTCGCGTCATGGCAGGGGTCATGGAAATGCTTGACTTTGTACGCCACAAGCGCGACTGCTAACAGAATCGCATGAGAAACTAGTCTCCTTCGAGCGACGATCGCCAGCAGTAAGCAGGAAACAGCGCGAGAGCACGGAGGCAGGTTCAGAAGAGATGATTCGCTGCAGGCACATTGCAGGCTGCGTCGCGATGTATTCCGCGTCGATGGAGGAGCAGACGAGCAATACCGTTCAGCACGAGCAGTGACACCCGGTGAATCAAGATGAGAGTTATCCCGCCCACCGGAGTAGGAACAGAAAGGCCTCAGCCAGAATCACCACGCACATCGTGCACGCCCGAGACTTTATTACCAAACAGCTGAACGAAAATCCATCGACGATCGCAACGAGGAAGGAGACAACGCCCGAAACTGGAGCAACCCCGGACCGCAGAGCTCGTCGCAGTCTATCGCCTCAGTCCTGCGGGCCCACGCAGCCAAGCACAAATTGTTTCTGGTGGATTATCACGCCGCTCTCGAGGGGTGTTCGCGTATATGCTCTAAGCGCTGCTTGGCCTGCCGACAACGTTTCTGCCCGTGAAGGCGTCGTCATGCAGGTTCTTCCCGTCGAGGCTCCGAAAAGCGGCTATTCTCGATGTGAATCGTGTAGATACCACCTCTACGTTCGAGCGCCATCGTCCGTAGTCGCGCATATGACTGTCTCCTCTCCCTCTGCTCCTCTGCCTCTTTGCGTGGATGCGTGAAACGCAGACTGGTACGTACGTTGCCGGCGCACGGAGAGCTCCAAAGGCGTCCGAGAGTGTTGCAAGTCACTCATGCGAGCGATGAGAAGTATCGAGAAGCAGAGAGAAACCTCACCGCCGTGAACTTGATTGTCCTCAGAGCGGTCGTACACATCAGCGACAACGCCCGACAAACAGAGGGCAGCTTCGTTTCGCCTTCACCCCACGAAGCCAATGGAGTAAAGTCAGGAACGACGTGTATGCGCAGCGGCTCATGACTGGAGACCCAGCATTACTTCTCCACTGTACGAGATTTGAGACGAGGAAGAAGGGAAGCCAAACAGCGGAAGTTGAATGAGGAGAGCAGTAGAAAGAATATATTTGCGCCATGCATCGACTTCAACTTGCATCACCGCCGTTCGAGCGTATCACATTCATTGCATCACATCTGAGTCGCTGCACGCGTCATCTTCGACAACAGTCGCCGTGTAACTGCATCTGAGTACAGCAACACAACTTGTGTGATTGTACAAGGCGTTCGTCATTCTGAGCGATGCTCACGTCAGTCCCCGTAGTTCATCCGCAGCCCAGGGCCCACTTGCGCCCAGCCACACCCGCGTGACACGCCCCTGCGTTTGTTTTGAGTCTACGCGTGTCACTCTTCGACCCGCGCAGCATCTGGCTTCCGTTCCGCAGCGTCGTGTATCTTGCCGGCTTCGCATCGGCTCGAGATTATTGCAGACGCAGATCCGAAAGCGATAGCGGAAGGATTGACTTGTTTGTCGCGTCAATGCGGCACGGCCGAGGTCACGTCGACTTTCGACGCGTCGCCACGACCGCAATCACGAACACGACCGCGTAACAGACCCGTGAAGACAAGATCTCCGCTGCACAACTATTGTTGACGAAGAGGTCAGCAAGCGACAGCGACAACGCACATCACGCGCCGAGACAACGCAGCTGCAGAAGCGACTCCGACACGTAACGAGAGCATGACCCGTCCCCAAGAAGAGACGACGCCCCGTCCACCGACGTCGTGTACTCATTGTTCACTCCCGTTAGAGACTTCGCTTTTACCAGCTAAACGAAACTATCCAACATACCCCAATGAAATGGACTCGATTTCAATGGCCGCGCCCATACGACCGCGTTGCTCGAGGGAGATTTGTAGGGTGCGGAAAGTCTGACCCAAATTACGAAGTTCGACTACTCTGGCCGCGATCCTGACGAC